CCTGCCTCACAAGCTCAAGGTCCCAAGTTCGATCCCTTAAACTTACAAAAAAAAAAAAAAAAAAAAAAAATCTCAGCCAAGACAGCCTTCAGGCCCCATGCAAGGGAAGGAACAGGAAGCAGCTCAGCAGTCGCTGACCGGAACTGTCAGATGCTACAGGATCCACTCCTCTCTCCTGCAGCAACCCCATGTCATCTGTCCCCACCCACGGCCCATCCCACAGAGAAGAAAAGCAGCGTGGGACTTGCACGGGGCCCTGCTTAGTGGCCCAGCAGCCAACTCCCGGATGAGCATGCAGTCAGGAACTGCGAAGCACCCAGCCTGGGAGGCTCAGGGACACACAGGCATTGGGGACCTTGGTGGACACCCAGGGAGACTGGAATTGTGTGAAGTGCTGCTGGTGACAGCTGAGCACCAGCCCAGGGAAGAACGACCTTGAGCAGCCGCCTGCAAGCAGGGAAGAGACAACAGGGAAGGAACAGTGCTTCAAGAGGGGGCACAGCCAGCCAGCGGTGACACAGCAATGAGAGAGAGCTGGACTATGGGTGGGACAGGAGGGCAACAAGTCTGGCTGCATCTGAGGAAGATGAGGCAGGAGAAGCTGCAGGCAGCAGCGGAGGAGAAACAGGGACTGGGTTGCAGGAGTCACGTGTCTCAGACTCATCACCTTCATCACCTCAGATCACCGACCTGCTTAGCAGCCACCTCACCAGTGACACGAGAATGCCTAAGGATGCACGTGCGTAACATGTACAGAACTCTGAGGCGCTCAAGGGACATTAGCTATTGTTGTCACCCAGTCCAAACAAGGGCTACCATCAAAATTAGAAGTTTGAAAAGGCCCCCACAGAGAATTTAAAAACTCAGGAGGCTTCCCCATTCACTGAGCTAGGTGAGCCTCGCTCCTCCCACACATGCATCTCAAAACTGTGCTACTGGGCCGGGGATTTAGCTCAGTGGTTCCAGCAACTGCCTCGCAAGCGCAAGGTCCCGAGTTCAATCCCGGGTACCAAAAAAAAAAAAAAAAAACTGTGCTATTTAGACATTAGTAACAATACTTAATGGCAAGTGCAGGGGCAGGTGCCTGTAGTCCCAGCTACTCAGAAGGCTGGGGCAGGATGGTTTACGGCCACCCTGGACAGCATAGCTTGACTCCATCTCTAAACCAGTAACGCCTAGTATGTGCAGGTCACTTGGAGGTTTACAGAGCACCTTAGAATCTGTTACAAGAACTCGTTACTTAATAACCACTTGGGCCCAGCGCCCTTCATTTGGCCGCAGTGCTGCAAAGTGGCTGGTTCTTGCAAGGCCCAACAAGCATGCACATCCGCCTGCTCAGATCAGGTGCTGAGCCTGTCAGCTATCAACTCCCCTCGGGTTTGCCATCCACACCTGCTGCGGTTCCGCTCCCAAATGACCACATCTGGTAGGGATTAAAGCATGACAACAACTGTAGCAATGACTGTAGCTCCCCGCGTTCTGTCCTCGCAGCAGTCCCCCGTTTCGTCCCCATTGTCCAAACGAGGTAGCCGGACATGGAGAGCCCGGGATCTCCATCCAAGGACACGGGGACGGAAGGGGAGCGGGGCTGAGACCCGGACACACCATGACTGCCCCGCGTCCGCCTCGCCAGCAGCGCGCCGCGCCGCAGAAGTCCAGCAAAGTGCTTGCTCACTCAGGGTCCGGGACCAACAAAAGCGGCCGCCGCGCGCGGGCACAGGAGTGTCCAGGGCCAGGGCTGTCCCTCCTCCGGAGCGCGGCGACCTTGCGGGCCGGGCGGCCGCGCTCGCGCAGTGAGGACTGGCGGGAATGAATGGACAGCCCCGGATGGGCCTGCCCGAGTGGCCCTGGGCGTCCCTGTCGGGCCCGACCCTGCCCTTCCGCTGAGCCCCCGGGAACCCGAGGACGCGCGATCTGCCCTTCTAGGATGCAAGGTGGTGGGCAGCTCCAGCGGGGCCCGCCCCGGCGTCAGCAGGGGCAGAGGCTGCGGCCGCACCGAGGGGAAGCGCGCTCCCTTCGCCCTCCAGGACGCAGCGAACCTGAGGCGGCGGGGGGCGGCGGCCGGGCCGCGCCGTGAGGGTCATAGAGCGCGAGGCCGCCGCCCGGCCGGTATGTCACCCTCTGGCCGCATGTCCCTCTGCCGCGCGAACCCCGCCCGGGCCGGCGCCCTCCGCCCCCTGGCACCCCCGCCCCGGCCTTCACGGCTCCGCCCCGCGCCCGTGGTCCATACCTGCTGGGAGAGAGGGACGAGCGGCGCCGCCATCTTCCCGCGGACTCGGGCTCCGAGCGCGGGGGGCGGGGCCACAGCCGCGCGTGCGCACTGCTGCAGGGGCGGTGCGCGCGCAGCCGAAGCTGTAGGGGGCTAGTCCGAAGATAGGGAGGCGCATGCGTGGTTGGGCCGTGCGGGCGGGGCCGCGAGCAGGCTGCAAGGGAGAGGGGGCGGAGCACCGGCGCCGATACCCCAGCAGAGCGGCGTCGCACCGCCCTGTCTTCCGGCCTGTGCGCCGCACTGGCCTGGCCCGAGGCTGCTGCGCGCTCCCCGCGCCGCCAAGCCTCCGGCTCCTAGCCGCCGCGGCCCGGCTAGGGCAGCGCTAGGCTCCCGGCGCCCTGGGGGCGCACTGTGGAGACGGCGACCTTACTGCACCCGCGGGCCCTGTCTGCCCGGTCAGATTCTGCCGGGGGGGGGGCATCCCCCGCCGAGGTCCCTCCCCACTGCCACGCCCAGCTGTCGCCGTGACGCGAGTGATCGAGCCCCTCTGCACCCAGTCCCCTCCTGAACAAGGCCACCGTGTGCTGCCCTCACACACGACGAGGCCGGGGACCCCAGCCCGCGACAGCGCGTTCATGCGACACATTTCCCTGCCCTTGGCCACAGTGTGGGGACAAGGCCTGGCGGACCACAGCAGCCAGGTGTGTCCCTGAAAGTCCTGGTCACCACTTCCTCAGTGGTGTCCCACAGGGACTTCTTCAGCATCGTCATGACTGGGTGGCTCTCGTGCCACTCGGATAAACATTGCGCATTATGATTCACTCTAACCATTCGCCCATGCGGTGCATGCTGAGAACTCTGCTGGGAGCTGGGAGGCCAGTGGATGAGTGGACAGCTCTCTCCCTAGGAGACAACAGTCTAGAGCCAGGGTCTCTCTGGTGCTGTGTCTCGGCCACCAGGGGGTTTGTGAAACCCACGCTGGGGGTCTGGTTTCCTTGTAGATGGGCTGGGGCTTGCATTTGGCCTTGCTGACTAATGCCCTGGTGAACCATTCGGGTCTACAGGGGGCCAACTTTCAGAGTCAGGTCTACGTCATGTGCTACGGAGCAGACCAGAGAGGTGACACCAAAGGTCAAGTGTGTCCAGTGGTCAGCTGTCCCATGGTGGGAACACTCGACTCCCAGAAGCTAGAGGAGGCGAGATCTAATGTGACTCCTGGCTTGAGAGGTAGGTTCGTGGCAGGCTGGCTCCAGGGAGGAACATCATGGTGGCCGGAGGAGCAAAGCTGCTCAGTCCATTGTGGCCAGGAAGCAGAGGAGGGGACTGCACCAGAAGGGAAAGGGCCAGGGGCCAGATAACTCCTCAAGGCCATGCCCGGAAGTGTGCTCCACCAAGCCCTGGGTGGCTCCCAGCCACTCAAGTGGACAACACAATCAAACTTAGCCATCACAGTGTGCTCGAGGTGAAGGAAGAGCTGGGAACACCCCAGGGAGAGAGGACCAACGTCCCCCAGAGCACAGAGTTCAGAGAGCAAGACAGGGGTTCGAGAGAAGTCTGGGTCACAGCTGTACCTTCCCTGGGTGTCATCTGGAAGGGTTAAAGTCATCATATTACAGTGACCCATGCATACCCACGCTTACAGCAGCACAACTCACAAAAGCCAAATCTTGGAAGTGCCCTGTATGTCCATCAACAGACAGATGGAAAAGAAAATGTGGTGTTTACACACTGTGGAGTACTACTCTGCCATAAAGGATAAACTTCAGGGCTGGGGATTTAGCTCAGTGCCTCCGCTGCCTGCCTCGAAAGCACAAGGACCCGAGTTCGATCCCTGGTACCAAAACAAAAAAGGATAAACTTCAGTCATGTGTAGGGAAATGGATGCACCTTGAAACCATGATGTTAAGTGAAACCAACCAGACACAGAGGATTAAATATCAAATGATTTCTTCTAGGAGAAACCCAAAGTGTAAGCAAAGAACAAAATAGATGATAGGAAACAGGGAGGAAGGCTTTGTGGAGAGGGGAAGGGGATCTGGGGGAGGGGGAGACAGGAGGGAAAGGGAAGGAAAATGACCAAGATGTGATATACAGTACAAATTCTTTCTGATGAATGTTGTCATTATGTATATCTAAAATGTACCAAGAAAGGGTTTGCTTCAAAGAAAAAAAGATGTGATGTGTGTATGTACCAATTCCCCATAATGAGTATATCCACAAACATATGCTGATAAAAATGAACACAAAATTTTTTTTTTCAGTATCAGGAATGGAACCCAGGACCTTGCACTTGCCAGGGAGGCACGGCACCACTGAGCTACATCCCTGGCCCCTACACAGAAATTCTTTTAAAAGACATGGCTAGGGTGTGCGTGGCCTTGGGGTCTCCCCTGCAAGGAAATCAACAAGACGCCCCAGAGGGTTCTGAGCACGGCCAGATCTGTGTTCCAGCACGGTGACGAGGGATGTGGGATGCAGGGAAGCTGGACAGCCCATGAATGGAGGAGGCCGTACCCGATGAGAGGCTCTGAGGCCATGCCGGGGGAGCCAGGGCTTCCGAATGCACCCAGTGCAATCTGCGTTCCATATGGAAAAGCAAAATCCTTCCAAGTGTTTCAGACAGAAATACTGAATACAGGGGATTACATGTAGGCATGCTGAACATACCAAGCTGGGAGCGGTGGCACGCACCTGTCATCCCAGCACTGGGAAGGCTGAGGCAGGAGGATCACCATGGAGTTCCAGACAAGCCTGGACTATACAGCAAGGCCCTGTCTCCAAAAAACCAAAAACAAAACAAAAATAAAAAAGCCTGGGGATGTGGCTTGGTGCAAAGGCCTTGGCCAATCCCCAGTGCTGCAGAAAGAAAGAAAAAAGGAAGAAAAGGAATCGAGGGAGAGGGAGGGACTGAATGCGCCTAACCTGCTAGACACCCTTGTTTACAGCACAGGGCACTATAGGCTGTGGTTTGTTCACCCCAGGACTGACCAGGAGTTGAGGCTCACTGCCGCTGCCTAGCGTTTACAAGAGGACACCATTGTGCTGCTGGCCTGCGGACAGAACAACTTCAAAATCACCAGTACAGCTTGCATGCATGCATCATTCATTCATTCCAGACAAGGTCTCCCTATAGGGCCCACGCTGGCCTTGAACTCACAGCTACCCTCCTGCCTCAGCCTCCTGAGTGTTAGGGTCACAGGTGTTCGCCACCCCACCTGGCAAAATTCCCAGTACAGTTTCTGCTGAGTGCACACTATTTCCCCACCACTGTAAAGCTGAAAAACCTACAGTTGAACCCTTGTACGTCAGGGAATGTCTATATGGAAACAAGGTTAAAGTCATTCTGCAGATGAGCCGCACCTCAAGGGCTCAAGAGCTGCATGTGAGCTGGGTGTGGGGGTGCATGCAGGTCATCCCAGCACTCAGGAGGCTGAGGCAGGAGGACTGCAAGTTCCAGCCCAGTCTGGGCAAGTGAGTGATTTAGCAAGACCCAGTCTCAAATTTAAAATATATTTAAAAGGGCTGGGAATGCAGCTCAGTGTGAAGGCCCTGGACTTGATCTCTAGTACTGGCAAGAAAAATATCAAGTTATTTCAAAGAAAAAAATTAATCTGCAAAATAATTCTTTTTTTTTTTTGTACCGGGGATCAACCTTGGGTCCTTGTGCTTGCGCATGCGAAATAATTCTTAAGAGTCGTTTGGGAAAATGAATCCTACCGTCTCTCACAGAGGACAGACGGCCACCAGGATGCTGGTTACACAGTGACCCATGCAGACCCAGGTCTTCCAGATACCCGAGTATGAACAGGGCCCACAGGACCTTCAGGGCCCACAGATGTTACATGAAGACACCACCCTGAGGAGACTTGGGGTGCAGCCAACTGTGAGTGCTCACCCTGCACACGGAGGCTCTGGGTTCCAGCCCGTGCCACAAGAAAAGAAAGAACTAGATTTCATGTGAAAAAGTTGCATGGCTATTACTACTGACTTATAGCCCGAAGTAATTAAGCATGCTCTTTTTCAAAATGCATTTCACCAACTTTTATTAAATGTCAGAGATTAAGAAAGCAGCGCTGTGTCTTTGCTGTGCAGATCCGTGGAGGGAACCTTCCAGTGTAGGTGTCTTGGGGAGACATGCAACCCACCCCACTAAGGAGCCTGGGGACGGTTTTCTTTTCTTTTCTTTTGCGGGGGGGGGGGGGGCAGGACAGTGAGACAGGGTCTCCCCGTATAGTTCAGGCTGCCTTAAACTCAAACTCACTGTGTAACCCAGGCTGGCCCGGAACTCAAGGCGATCCTCCTGCCGCAGCCTCCACAGTGCTGAGGTCATAGGCGTGCACCACCACGCCAGGCCCCTGGGGACCTTTTTCAAGGGCACTGGGCAAATGAGCACACAGAGGCTGAGTTTTGAAATGTGGATTAAAGTAGAAGGGAGGTTTTACCAGTCACCTCTGCCCTCCGCAGCAGGGAGAACTACAGCTCGTTCTGCCTCTGAAACTCAGGGAAGGGCCCCTGAGCCCCGTGGAACCTGCCCGCCGGCAGCTCCTCCTCCTCCTCCTCGCGGGCTCTGGTCACCTCCTCCTTGATCAGGATGTCATCCATCTCCTTCTCCGGGCCCTGGAGGAAGAACAGCACAGGCTGGGCAGCCCACGGTCACCTTGTCCTAAGAGCCCCTAAGGACAGCAAGTCCATCCCTGGGGCTGGGCTGGGGGGGCAGGGGGGGTCCTGGGTTCAACCCAGCTCCTCCACCACGGGCTCCTTCCCAGAGGCTGCCAATGCCTCTTCTGCAAGAATATGATCACATCAAAAGGCTGAGATGGAGAAATTATCCAGTGCTTTAGTGCTTCAGTCAGCTTTCTGTGACGTGACAAAACACCTGAGGGAACCAATTTTAAGGAGCAAAGGTTTATTTTGGCTCCTGATTGTGGAGGTTTCAACCCTGTTGCCTGGAGCCCAGCACCAGAAGCAGCTCCCATCCTGGCAGCCAGGAAGCAGAGGGGAAGGGGTGAACCTAACAGCCCTTTGAGACCACACCCAGTGACCTCACTTCCTCCCACCAGGACCCCTCTCAAAGGTTCCACGCCACAGGTTGGCTACCAAGCTGAGCAATCCTAGATTTAGATCCAGTCCTAAGCGTCCTCGTAAGAGACGATAAAGGTGGGCTGGGGATTTATCTCAGTGGCACCATGCCTGCCTCCCAAGCGCAAGGTCCTCAGTTTGATTCCCAGTACCAAAAAACAAAAAAGAGAGAGATGATAAAGGAGATCTGATACACAGGGACAAGAAGAGCAGACCATGTGACGCTGGAGGAGAGATTAGCATGATGCAGTCACAAGCCAGGGAACACCAGGAGTAGATCCTGGCTTCCACAGCCTATACCCATCTTGATTTCAGCCCAGTGATACAACTTTGGACTTCTGGCCCCAGAGCCGTGAGGGCAGTGGATTCTGCTGTCTCAAGGCACCACGTGTGGTCATTGGGGATGGCAGCCCCAGCACAGATGCATCCCCTCCGGTGGGTGACCGTGGATTGGACCCTCCAGAGTCATGAGCCGAAAGGAGCCTTTCCTCTGCTGGGAGCTGGCTGCCCCGTCTGGCTGTAGGATCCTCAGGGGTGAACAGGGTATGCTTCTTGAGAGGTGAAGGAGGCCCCTGGAAACCTCCTGTGCTCTAAGCTGGCTGGGGGTTCACTCGTCAGACCCCGGAGTCCTCTCCCACGTGACAGACTCCAGTGTGGGAGTCACACAAGCTGGTGAGTGCTCACAGGAAGTGTGTGCATCCTCTATACCTTGGTTTGGCCCTAGGTGGCTTTCCCAAAATTTTCTGCATACTCCTCATCATCTGTGAGCAGGAAGTTATCAAAGATGGTTCCCGACCTCACCTGCAGGGGAGAAAACGGCCTTCATTGTTTTGGTTCAGGTTTTTGTTTTTGTGAGACAGGGCCTCACTATGTAGATCTGATTGGCCTTGAACCCACTGTGCAGTCCAGGCTGGCCTGGAACCTGCAATCCTCCTACCTGAGCCCCCCAGAGTCCTGGGGCAACGGGCGTGTGTCACCACACCTGGCTAAACTCAGTTACTAAAATGAAGCCAGCTGGAAACCAGTGACCTGCCACAGCTCCAGCCCGATGGCGCCGATGCTCTGGAATTCCGAGAGGTCGTACTGCGTCAGGTAGCCGGTGCCTGTCATCTTCTCAGGCAGCCAGGGGTCTTGGCTGATTCTCTCCGGTTTCAGGCCAGCCTGCAACAGCCAACCACGGGCTGGTCCAGGGGAGAGCAGGGCGGGGCCAGCCCGGGCGTGTCCCCTACAGGGCGGGGCACCACACACCTGGTAGAGCGGCTTCTGCAGCATGGGCCCCGGCCAGTCCCCGTCTAGCTCACTGTGCCAGTCGCCGGGCTTGCTGCCCGCAGCGTCCAGCAAGTGCTTCTCCCAGTCCTGCAGAGACACAGCCCGTCAATCAGGTGCTGGCTTCGGGCAGCGGGATTCTGTCTCTCTCCCTCTTCCACTGCAGAACTGTGGAGGGAAGCGGGGTGTACACTTTCCAAGCCAGCGCCTGGCACTGGGCCACATGCCACCTGGCCCAGGAGAGGCAGGGAGGCCCTGTCACGGGGGAGCCCCAAGTGCCCAGGGACCCAGGACCCAGGTCCCCGAGCTCTGGGGGGATTCCAGCCCCGCTCTTCAGGGCTGAAGGTGAAATGCTGGGGCGAAAGGTAACGGTGGGAGAGTCCACGATTAGCAGCCACTCGGGTCGCAGCGCGTCTGTTCCCTCTGCCGTGGTCACGCAGGGACTGTGCCCAGGGCAGGGCAGCTGTGACCCAGGAGGCCTGCCGGGGAACTGGTAGGCAGTGGGAGATCCCAGCGGCATCATCGAGCCCTTTGTGCACAGTGCAGACGCGCACTCAGGCACCCACTTCACGACTGTGAGCCCCTAAAACTCACACCTTTAAATCTTAACCCCAGCATCACGGTATGAGGAGCCAGGGCCTGTGGGAGGCGCCAGGGTTTGGATAAAGGTTCCCATGTTCAAACGCGTGGAGCGTAGGGGCCGGGGATGTAGCTCAGTGGTTTTGCCGCCTGCTGCGCAAGCGCAAGGACCTGAGTTCGAGCCCCGGTACAAAAAAAAAACAACCCCCATGTGACTGAGGCCAAAACCTGTGGAGTGCTGCAGAGGTGCCTGACCTTAGAGAGGCGGGGCTTAGGGAGGAAGTGAGGTCACATGGGGCGTGGCCAGGAGGGGATATTAGGCCCCAGCCTTCCCCTCTTCCAGCCAGGTGACCAGCTCCCCTAGGGTTGCTGTCAGCGGACTCCTGCCTCCTGCATCTAAGGACTGAAGGGCCCGAGATGAGCCCCAGTGAACCTTTCCTATCACTGGAGCCTGCATGGGAACCTGGGAACACGGCAATAATTATTCCGTTGTCCCTGTGGGCAGGTGGGACAGGGAGGCCACCTGACTCCCAGGGGACCCGCACCAGAGCCCGCCGGCTGCCACCCTGACCTGGACTTCCAACCCCAAAAAAGTGTTTTTTCTTTTAAAATAACAAATACTAATATTGCTTTGTTTTGGTTTGGTTTTTTTGAGACAGGGTCTTGCTATGTAGCCCAGGCTGGCCTTGAACTTGTGGCGACCCTCCTGCCTCAGCCTCCCAAGTGCTCGGATTACAGGCATGTGTGGAAGGGCTAGAACCCAGCCTCATGTGTGCTAGCCAGTGGTCACCACTGCGTACAGTTCCATATATGACAAAATTTTAATAAGTAATGTATAATTTTTAAAAGGTTAGCAACAATTATCTTTTTATTAAGAATGCACTGCTTAGCCGGGCATGGTGGTGCATGCCTGTAATCCTAGCACTCGGGAGGCTGAGGCAGGAGGATCACCAAGGGTTTGAGACCACCTGGGCTACATAATGAGTTCAAACCCAGCCTAGACTACATACCAAGACCCTGTCTCAAAAAGCAAACAAGGGGCAGGGATGTAGCTCAGTGGTGCCATGCCTGCCTCACAAGCTCAAGGACCCGAGTTCGATCTCGGGTACCAAAAAAAAAACAATAACAAAAACAACAAAACGGACAAAACCCTATCTGCTCCCATGTCAAATGTAAGCACACCTTCTGCAACACATCGCCCCGTGTGGCTGAGAGGCAGCCACTGTCACAAGACCGTTCCCTTTCCTGCACTGCAACGGTGCAGGCGGGAGGCCCGCCACCCCCCACAGCGCGCATGCGCAAGCCCATCCCAAAGGCACACGCCTGGTCCACTCCCGCTTTCTCTGGTCCGAGCCTGGGGACGGCGCCGCCCCCTGCTCCGTTTTCCTCAGCGACGTCAACTGCCAGTCATACTCGATGCTGCCCGATTCGATGGACTGGCCATCGATCTTCACTTCGTAAGTGAGATCTGACCTCAGGACCAGAGTGTAGAGGTGCGTAAAGCCGTCAACCTGCACGTGGGAGGGACAGAGGGGCTCGGTGAAGCCTTGCAGTTTCCCTCCAGGTCCACACATGGCATGTGAAGCTGGCACCAGGGCGGTCTCATAGAAAAACAAGAGAAGTCGGGCCTGGTGGCGCACACCTGAAATCCCAGCACTCTGGAGGCTGAGGCAGGAGGGTCACTGCGAGTTCAAGGCCAGCCTGGGCTACACAGTGAGACCCTGTCTTGCAAAAACCAGAAAACCAAAGACAACAAAGTGATGTCCCCTCTGAATACAGCTGCTTCCCAGCACAGGGAGGAGCGTCGTCCGGTGCACGGAGCAGGCAAGGCAGGACCCTCTGCTGATGCAGGGTACAGCCGCTGCCCTCACACTGGAGCTACTAGCCCAGGCTGGCCTCAAACTCTCCAAGATCCTCCTGCCTCAGCCTCCTGAGTGCTGCATTGACAAGTGTGCACCACCACGCCCAGCCCAGGTTCTTTATTGCAACACTGAGCTGCATCTCAGGTCCTTTTTTTAAAATCCTGAGACAGGGTCCCACTAAGAACTGGCCGTCCTCCTGCCTCGGTCTCCCATCTGAGTATGTGTCATCGTGCCTAGCTCCTTTCCTTTTTTTGAGACGGCCTCGCTGTGCAGTCCAGGCTGGCCGAAAACTTGCAGTGATCCTCCTGCCTCAGCCTCCCCAGTGCTGGGATTACAGCATGCTCCACCACGCCTGGCTGCCCTTTCTTAATTTATACCTTGGGCTCCATCACCCCGAGTTGCTGGCCTCCCAGGTGGTGACATCCTCTTCCATGTGTGTGCAGATGCTGCCAACCCCAGCAGCTGCCACCCCAACCACTGGCCTGTACTGCAGACTCAGTTTCCAGCAACTTCCTGGATGGGGCGGCTCTGCCTGGTCACCTGCTGGGATTCCACCCTGGCTGCTCCAAGCTCACCGGTGTCTGCCGAGCCCCTCCCGGCCTGTGGTCCCCTCCCAGTGCTTGGTGACGCTGTTCACAGCCATTGCCTATGCCCAGGTTCTCCTGTTCCACTCATCACAGTGCCCTTGGATTCTCCTGCTGATTTTTTTCTATTTGCACTGCTGGGCTGGAACCCTGGCCTGGACCAGGAGCCAAACCCAGCCCCGCCCTCTCCTGGGATCTGGACTCAGAGCCTCCTGTCCCCTGCTCCCCACCCCCTTGCCCTGCCTCTGAACAGCTAGGGCTTCTTCTTTTTTTTTTTTTTTTTGGTACTGGGGATTGAACTCGGGTCCTTGCGCTTCCCAGGCAGGTGGCGGAACCACTGAGCTAAATCCCTGGCCCAGGACTTCTTTTTGTTTGTCTCGTTTTGAGACAGGGTCTCGCTGGCCCTGAATTCATGACCATCCTGCCTCAGACTCCCAGGTGCTGAGATTACAGGCACGTGCCATTGTGCCCAGGCCAGTCGCTTCTACTAACAGGCGGGTGAAGTCCTGTCCCAGGAAACTGTCTGGGTCAGTTGCCCCTTCAGGTGACCGAGCTGTGCCTGAGGCCCCAGTGCCCCTGTGGCAGCACAGCCTGGGGACTGTCCTAGGGGACCATGTCCTGGCTGGGGTGACCAGCTCCGCAGCCTCTCCTGCTCCCCATGGCTCTTATGTGCCCTGGGACCAGCTGTGGAGATGCACAGACACCGGAGGGGGGCGGGTCTCGCCATGGCCCATGGGCTGGGCTGGGGTGTCGGGCCAACCACAGTGTTTGGGGGGGACCCACTCATCCTTTAAAGTCCTTCTTCGCCAAGTGTTGTGCATGCCTGTAACCTGGAGCCCTGTCGGCTGAGGCAGGAGGGTTACAAATTCAGCCTGGGCAGTTTGGTGACTGAGTCCCTGCCTCCAGTGAAAAAGTAAAAAAGGTAGCTCAGTGTGAAAGCCCTGGGTTCAATCCCTAGTACCAAAAATTAAAATTTTCTTTCCATGGGCTTCCTGAGTAAAAAAGCAGAAAGTGGCCGGGCGTGGTGACACACGTCTATAATCCCAGCACTCGGGAGGCTGAGGCAGGAGAATTGCTACAAGTTCAAGGCGAGCCTGAGGTACACAGGAGTTCAAGGCCAACCCAAACGAATAGAGGCCCTTTCTCAAAAAACTACAAAAAACCCAAGGAAATGAAGAAAAAGAAAAGAGAAGAAAAAGAAAAGAGAAGAAAAACACAAGAAAGAAAGAAAAACGGGAAAGTATGTTGTTTACAAATACTGCTACTTTAGCTGAGTGTGGTGCCGCCTGTGCTCCCAGCACTCAGGAGGCTGAGGCAGGGAGATCACTGCAAGGTCAAGGCCAGCCTGGGATACATAGTGAGTTTAAGGCCAGCCTGGACTACCTAGCGAGACCCTGTCTCAAAAACTAAAACCAACCAAACAAAAAAGGAATCTGGCCACTTATGTGCTGGGATTTGAGGACTGTGTGAATTCCCCGGAATGCTTTTCCACCCTGGGTATTTGGTTCTTGGATGCTGGCGGTGCAGGCAGAGGGTAGCTGTCTGGCTGTGACCCTTCTGTGGGACCTGACAACACGGTGTCACTGCTCACAGGACGTGACAGAGGCCCTCCTGGGTGGCTGCTCAGACAGCAGAGCAGCCGCAGTGGGTGGGGCGGGCAGGGCCCTGGCCATCCTGGGCTCAGTTACACTGGCACAGCAGGCTCTCCCCACGAGTCAGCGTGGCCAGCATGAGCATGAGCAGGGCACCCAGTAGCACCCACGGGCCCAGCTGCTCAGGAGGCTGAGTCAGGAGGAGCCAGGAGTCTGAGGCCAGCCCTGGGGAATGTAGGGAGTGCCCATCTCAAACAAAAAAGGGAACACAAAGGAAGGAAAGAGAAGGGGAGAAGCAAAGCCACTCATCTGAATATGGGAGCAGTTACCTTACACTTGATCGATTTCTTGTTTGCATGATACTCATTCTTGAATTGTAAAATAACATGAACTTTCTTGAGATCAAATCCACAGATATCAGGTCCTACAAACACAAGAGCGGTGCGGTGCATCAGCGTCCTTGCCCAGGAGGCTCCTCCACAGACGAGCGCCCGCTGGCCACCCTTTCTCGGGACAGATTTACTAACAAGGGACGACACAGACCCGGCCTCAAGCTAGGAGGGGACAGGCCTGACGTCAGCTGAGCGTCCCCGAGGCCTGGTCTGGGGTTCTGAGGGCACCTGCGGCACTACTGCCCTAGGAGAGAGGCGGTGCCACCCGAGGCCTCACGAAGCTGCTCTGCCCAGGGAGCGACAGTGACGGGCAGGAATCATTCACCTTTGTCTGAAGGACCGCACGGCAACACAACATATGTGTGCTGTGTTTTACATTTTATTCAGAACCAGTGATTGAATCCAAGGCCTTTGCACTAAGCTACATTCCCAGTCCCCTCTTTTTTCTTTTTAAATTTGAGACAGGGTCTGGCTAAATCACTAAGTTGCCTGGGCTGGGCTCAAACTTGCCACCCTCCTGCCTCAGCCTCCTAGAGTGCTAGGAGCTAGGACGACAGGTATGTGCCACCAATCCTTTTGTGTCCTTAATGATAAATCCGGACTGCAGGCTCGAGATAGATTATGATCAGGATACAAATTCTGATCCTGGGCCGGGGATTTAGCTCAGTGGTTTCACTGCCTGCTGCGCAAGCACAAGGACCCGAGTTCGATCTCTGGTACCAAAAAAAAAAAAAAAAGAAAGCAACAGGTTCTGATCCACTGTAAAATCTAGAGTTTCATTCAAAAGTTAAAGGCTGTGCATGCGTGTGTGTGTGTGTGTGTGTGTGTGTGGTGTTTTGTCTTGCAGTACAGGGATGGAGCCCAGGGCCCTGTGTATTCCAGGCAAGCGCTCACCAGATAGCTGCACCCCCAGCCCTATGAATATTTTTTGGTTGTTTTTTTGAGACAAGAATTTGCTATGTAGCCCAGGCTGGCTTCAAACTCCTGGGGATCCTCCTGCCTCAGCCTCCCGAGTCCTGGGATGACAAGCAAGTGCCACCACTCCCAGTGTGTTTTAAATTGGTATTTATAGCAGCTGGCTGTGGTGGTGCACACCTGTAATCACAACACTCTGGGAGGCTGAGGCAGGAGGATCACTGGGAGTTCCAGGCCACCCTGGGCTACTTAGCAAGACTTAGTCTCAAAAAATGTAAATAAATAAAGAGGTAGGTACTTACAGGTTTAAATGGAATTCCCTGGGCTGGGGCCAGGTGAGTGGGACTAGCAAGGGCTCAGAGGGTCTGGAAAGCCCCTCAAGCCTGCTCTGGAATCCTGTCTTGGCTTTCTGGACCTTAAGCCTGAAGAACGTGCTCAGGCATCTGGTCTGTGCCAGCCGGAACCCGAGGGGCCAAAGCTCCAGACCCGCTCTGGATGTGTCCGTGTAGGTGCCCCAAGAACACTGTGGGTCCATGGCCCGCTCCGGCCCCAAACCAAGCTCAACCTCAAAGGGTGGCGCAGGCCACATCCGAGAGCAGACGGAGACCGAGCACCGTGCTGGCCACGGGCCCTGGCCGTCTTCACCAGGACCGCCTGGCTCCAGGCCGAAGCTGTGTTGTGGGACTCGGTCTGGATCCCTTCCTGGGTGAAGACGAGCAGCTGATTTCCCCTTCCAAGCTGGGCATAGTCTCCCTCTCTGTTCCCCACACACTCTGTGAAGATTTCATTAAGCTACAGAAAAGACCCTGAACCCAGTGGGAAATCTGGCCCCCTCCAGGGATGGGGGTGATATATCCAAGCACCAGCTGGAAGTGATGGCGCACACCTGTCATCCCAGCTCTGGGGAGGCTGAGGCAGGAGGATCTCGGAGAGCTCGAGGCCAGCCTGGGCTACCCTGTCTGAAAAGTGAGAGCTCGTTTCAAAGGACCAAAAGAAAAAACCAGTTCTGCATGGAATTCACGTGTGTGTGTGGCGTGGGGCAGACAGGGCACTGGGCTGACCTGACTAGGCAAGAGCCTCGGTTTCCTTCTCTATAAATGGGTGTTAGGGTAACTTGTGGCTGCATTTGGGAGCCCCTGGACCAAAGGCCAGAGCTGAGCTCCCCGGGCAGAGGCACTGGAGCTCATTGTGGGTTAGAAATGCAGAAGCATTGTGAATATTTCTTTTTTTATTGCGGTACTGGGGATGGAACCCAGGGCCTTCGCACTGAGCTACATCCCGAGCCCTTTTAATTTTTTTGGACAGGGTCTCACTAAGTTGTTAAATTGCCCAAGTTGGGCTCACCCTTGCGATCCTCCTGCCTCAGCCTACCAGGGTGCTGGGATCCCAGGCGTGGCCACCAGGCCCAGCTGAGATGTCCATTTTCGGAGTGTCATGTTGGCACTGAAAACACCCCAGGGCCGGGGTGCTGGCCTAACCTGTCCCAGGCCCGGGCTTCATCCCCCGCATCGAAGACAAAGTTCCGGGTTTGAGAGCTCCTTGGTGTCAGGTTCGGATTAGGGGTGCCGAGCCCCACGGGCAGATCACACAGCATGGACACCTGGGGTCAGAGCCCCTTGCTGCATGGCCGGGCAGTGAGCCAAGCCTTGAAGGTGGGACGCACCGAACATGATGTAGTACGGGGACCTGGCGTTCAGGCCCCTCTGGTCCAGGTCGGCTGGGAAGACCTTCACGTAGCCACCGCTGCAGTCCACCTTCTGTTCATGCTTCACCGTGTACTGGAGCACCAGCGTCCGGCCCTTGTTGCTGAATGGCTTGAAGCGAGCGGAGATGGCATAGAAGTGGCTGTTCTGCGTGGTCTGCAGACCTGCAGGCGGAAGGGCCCCATCACACATGGCTTTGTACATTTTATTTATTTTTTTGAGACAAGATCTCACTATGTAGCCCAGGCTGGCCTTGAACTTGCAGCGATCCTCCTGCCTCAGCCTCCCGAGTGCTGGGATTACACCCTGGTCCTTTTGCCCTCCACAGCAAAAGTCTGGAGCTCTCCCCACGGCCTGCTGCCTACAGCATGGTGCACATGCACAGGGCCCACACCTCCCACTCTCTTCCACGCAGTTAGACCCCACACCATGTTTTGTGCTTTACAGAGCCAGCTGTGTGTGTTGCTCAGGTCCTGGGGATGGGATCCAGAGCTCGTGTTAGGCAAGGGCTTTGCCACTGTGCTGCACCCCAGCCCTCTTTAAAGTTTTTTTACCCAGGGTGCCCACCTGTAACCCTAGGGGCAGGACGATGCCAAGTTCGATTCCCACCTGGGCAATGTAGCAAGACTTGGTGGCACACTCAGCAGTAGTGGTGGTGAGCCCCGGGTTTGATCCCCATACTAAATAAATGAACAAAATAAAATCTCATTTTTGAGACGGGCTTGCTAAGGTGTCTAGGATGGCCTCCAACCTGTGTTCCTCCTGCCTCAGCCTCCTGAGTGTGGAGATTCCAGGCACACAGGACCATGCCTGGCTTCAAATTTTTTCTTGTTAAATCTAGGCATTCCTGTCAGGGCATGGTGGTGCACACCTGTAATCCCAGCACTCAGGAGGCTGAGGCAGGAGGATTGTCTTGAGTTCAAGGCCAGCCTGGGCTACAGTAATGTGGTCACAATGAAGGGGAACTGGAAGGTAGTGAAGAGAAACTGGCTAAGGAAACCTGTGATCCTCCTGCCCCTCAGCCTCCCAGAGTGCTGAGATACAGGAGGTCGCCCCAGCACCGCTGGGTTTTGTTGTTGTTGTTTTTTTTGGGGGGGGGGTTGTTTTTGGTACTGGGGATTGAACTCGGGTCCTTGTGCTTGCAAGGCAGGCAGTGGAACCACCGAGCTAAATCCCCGGCTGGTTTTGTATTCTTTTTTGGGGGGGGGCAGGTACTGAGGATTGAACTCGGGTCCTTGCGCTTGCATAGCAGGTGCTGAAACTACTGAGCTAAATCCCCAGCCCATGGTTTTTTATTCTTGACAGCAGCCATTCCTCTTGGGGCAAAATGGACTCTCAATAGTTTTGATTTGCATTTCCCTGAAGATGTGGAACATTTTTCATGCGCTTATTGGCCATTTGTATGTCTTTTGAGAAGTGGCTGTTGAATTAATTTGTCCATTTATTGATTGGGTTATTATTTTTTTTTGGTGTTTTTTTTTGGAGTCCTTTCTGTATACTTTATGTATTCTCTGTCAAAAACATAGCTAACAAAGATTTTCTCCCACTCTATAATTCTCTTGTCATTGTGGTTCTTTTTCTTTGTGCCGCAGAAGTGTTTGTTGTTTGTTCCTGTGGATGGAACCGCAGCACCTTATCTGAGCACCTTTGAGAGGGTCTCCCGAGATCGTTAAGTTGCCTGAGGCGAGGCCTTGGGTCCGACTTTTCTGCCTGGGTGCTTATGGATGACTTGGGGCAAGCAGAGAAACAAGAAAACTAAACACAAAGCAAAGAAAATCCTGTTTGTGTCTTGGTAGCCTCCCCTGGGAAACAGGGAGGGGTGTTGGGGATGTGTCACACGTGTTTTCAAAGTGTGCTCTGTGCCTGTAATCTCACCACTGAGGGAGGCTGAGGCGGGAGGATCTCAAGTTCGAGTCCCACCCGGGTAATTTAGCGACTCTGTCTCAAGATAGATATAGGTGAATGCGTGGGTGGATAGCGCTGGGCAAGAGGCGCAGCGGTAGACCGCCCCTGGGCTCGATCCCAGTACCACCAAAATAAAAATAAAAATAAAAATGCTGTGGGGGTGTAGCCCTGGCTTGGCTTCTCCTGAGTCTACACTGACCTTTGTCCTTCTCTTTGTGACCATAGAACTTCCCCGACGAGAGTCGGAAGTGGCCGAGCCGGGAGTCGTTGGACGGCACCCAGCGGTTCCTCCAGTGTTCTGCGGGGACAACACCGGTCAGCGCTCCGGGGGTAAATGGGGGCGAGGGCAGGGGGGCGCGAAGCTCCGCCCGCCCAGGCGTCGCCCGTCACCTCCGTCCAGAAACTCCTCCTGGAAGAACACAGTGGCCAGCGCCACACGGAGCGCGCACAAAGCACAAATCGAGACGCGAACCCAGGCCATTAGGGACCGGGACGCTCCTCCTGCAAAGCCCCTTTGCTCCCAGCGATCTGTTCGGCGAGCCGGGGCGTCCAGAAACTACAGCTCCCGTGACGCCTCGCGATTATGACATGAGCCACTATAGCACCCTGCCCGCGTGGTGCACGCCGGGGACGCCCCGAAACTACAAATCCCGTCACTCCTCGCGATTATGACCGGAGGAACCATTGGCCTCCGGCTCGAGGGACACGCTGGGAGCGCCCTGAAATACTACTCCCATGATGTGCCGCGATTGTTACCTGAAGCGCCATTGGTCCCTGGGGCGCCGCGGACGCCGGAAGATGTAGTCGCTTCCTCCCTGGCGCGGTTGCCGAGGCAACTGTACCCCAGGATCCGAGTAAGAGGCTGCGATCCATTTGGGGTAGGACGGCGCGGGAGGAGGATGGGGGCCGGGTGGTGGCCAGGCCTAAGAGGTCCTGCGGAGGGCGGCCCGCGCCTCAGTTTCCCCATTGCTTCAGGGACGGGGAGAAGAACCAGACGGAGGGGCTCCGTGTTTCAGTATCCTTCATTTAACAGCTTCTTTGCGGTTCTTTTACCCGTCCTACTCTTTGCTCTCTGTAAGCATAGAATCCCCTTATTTCTGGTGAATTTTCAAAGTTGCCCTTGGATCAGGGCGATCCAGCGTGGAACTGTTCCGCCACCAACGGAATGAGCCTGTCCCTGCGTCCCTTGCTTCCTAAGCTGTCTACAGACGCTCTTCTGATTATCGTTAGTAATAGGAAACGGGGGCCAGGGATTTAGCTCAGTGGTTCCGTCGCTTGCCTTGCAAGCTCAAGGACCCGAGTTCGATCCCCGGTACCAAAAGAAAAAAATTGGGCCGGGGATTTAGCTCAGTGGCACCGCACCTGCCTTGCAAGCGCAAGGTCCTGAGTTTGATCCCCGGTAGTGAAAAAAACAAAAAAATCATGTATGTATTTAGGAAACGGGCACACACACGTAATGTTTTATTTTTTTGTCTTTAAAGTCTTTTTACTGGGGATTGAACCCGGGGTTTTTGCACTGAGCTACATTCCCAGTCCCTTTTTAAAATTTTTATTTTGAGACAGGGTCTCACTGAGCTCAAACGCCACAGCCTCCCATACTGCTAGAACGAGAGTCCTTGGCCACCAGGCCTGGACCCAGTAAGGGATCCTCCTCCTCTGTGCTCAGGAGCCTCCCTGAGAACAGGACGAAGCCCTTCCCTTCTTCCCAGAAAAACATCCCAGCAGGCCTGCCGGACTGGAGCCAGCTCGGGCAGGGCAGGGCCAGTCTGCCCATGGTGTTGCCCACTCCCACTTGGCCAAAGTGGGGTCCCCAGGGGCTGTTAGATCCTCGGTCTGGGTGCACAGGGGATCTGGATAAAGCACAGCTCCACTCTGGGGTGAGGACCCTAGAGAGGAGCAGTGAGGGTCACTGTGGTGCCTCAGGGAACCCCTAACCCCTTCAAGGGTCACAGATTAAGGGGACCTGGAAAGGGGGAAGGTCTGCATACCAGCTGCCCTAGAGGAGTGTGCTTTTAAATACTTTATTTGGATCAGTGCACATTTGCAGTACGTACTGGCCACATTCCTCATGGGGAACTGGCATGTGGACAGGACAGGTCTTCATTAGCTTCACTTCCTCTTCCCTCCCTTCCCTCATCCCACAATAACTGTGATTACTGCATACCACACACATGCACTAATAAAACAATTTCTTTTTGGTACCAGGGATCAAACTCAGGACTTTCCGCTTGTGAGACACGCAGCGCAGCAGCACCACTGAGCTAAATCCCAGGCCCAACAATTTTTTTTTTGAGACAAGGTCTCACTGTGCCATTCAGGCTGACCTTGAACTCATTATGTAGTCCAGGCTGGCCTCAAACTGGCAATCCTCCTGTCTCAGCCTCCCAAGTGTTGGGATTATAGGTGTGCACCATCACACCCAGCCAATAAAACAAAAATTTTAAAAAAATTATGGAGACTTCAAAATATTACAACAAATTGAAAAGATGAGCAAAGCTGGGTGATGTGGTGGCGTAGGCCTGTAATCCCAGTACTCAGGAGGCTGAGGCAGGAGGATGTCAAGTTCAAGGCCAGCCTGGGCTAGTGAGTTTGAGGCTGGCCTAGACTATAGGGCAAGACCCTGTCTCCAAAAAAATAAAATAAAATAAAGGGCTGGGGATTTAGCTCAACGGCACAGCGCCTGCCTGGCAACCACAAGGTCCTGAGTTCAATCCCCAGTACCCCCCAAATAATGAATGAATGAATGAATTAAAAATCGGCCCCACCCGCTAGCCCAAAAGGAATGGCAGTCTGGTTTCAACTGGGGTTCTGCAGAGGATAGCTGTGTTGAAAGCCGAGTGGGCACTGTGGTCTTTAGCCGATGAGGGCCTGGGGTGCACGCCAGCAACCTCAGTTTTCCTTCCGATGCACTGTCTTCCTCTGTCCCTAGGTTGGCATCTGTGAGGAAAACCAGCTTTCCCGGGCCCGGTGCCTTTGGCCTCCAGGACGTCTGGTCAGATGAGCCACAGATGGAGGACATCGGGGACCTGACCTTCCACGGACACCCCACCTGGGTGGCCCCTGCGGCCAGCAGGTTCCTAAAGGGAGACCAAAGCATGGGTGTGAAGCCTGCACGGCAGGGGAGGGGTCCCTGGCTGAGCTCAGGCAGGTCCCCCTCCACCGCCCTGGCCACCAGCACCGCCTCAGCTGCTGGGTCTCGGATCAGAGCCAGTGAGGTGCTTAGGAAGGCAGCCCGGATAGAAAGCAAGATCCTGAGCCGGGCGAAGGTGCATGTGACACAGCGGGACACAGAGTCAGACCCCAAGACCATGGGTGAGCGTCCCCCGAAGAGGAGAGAGGATATGGCCCACAGAGGCCCTGCCAGCCCCCTGTCACAGGAGGTACCAGGGACCTTCTGGACGGGATCCCAGGAGGCCGCCATGGCTGAGAGCCCAGCACCGGGTGGGGACAGCAGGAGGTTCCTGAAGACCAAGGGACCGGCCATGGGGGACAGGGGCCCAGACACCTGTGGGTGCCCGGAGGAGACGCCTCGCACTCCCAGGCGAAAGGGACATGCCAGGAAGCTGAGTTCTCCGGACAGTGAAGAGGACATGCGAGCCTTGCTAAGGAGCCTGGTGGAGTCTCCCAGAGAAGAAACATCCGGCCGTCTGGGGCTCCCTGGCGGTAAGGTCAGCCAGCAAGAACCTAGGAAAACATCCCCGGTAAGGCTTCACCTTTTTATCTGCTTGCTTTGGGTTTTGTTTTTTTTCATTTTTGTTTTTTGGGTTTTTTGGTGCTTTGAAACAGGGTCTCACCCTGTAGTTCAAGCTATAGTTTCGGTCTTTTTTTTGGTACTGTGGATGGAATTCGGGACCTTGTGCTTTCAAGTCAGGTGGCGGAACCAATGAGCTAAATCCCCAGCCCAGTTCAAGCTGGCCTTGAACTCACTATGTAGCCCAGGCTGGCCTCAAACTTGTGGTGATCCTCCTGCCTCAGCCTCCGGAAGAGCTGGGATGACAGGCGTGACCACCACACCCAGCTCTACAACCTCCTCTTTGGGCTCAATTACATTGCTGGAGTGGTCTACAGAACTCAGGGGAGCACTTATGGACGTTACTGGTTTATTATAAGGGGTTTTATTTTTTGCAGAGCTGGGAATGGAACCCAGGACCTTGGACATACTAGGCACACACTCATCACTGAGCTGTACACTGAGCAGAGGACATTTTATTTTTATTTTATTTTTTTTGGTGCCGGGGATCGAACTCAGGTCCTTGCGCTTGCGCATCAGGCAGCGAAACCACTGAGCTAAATCCCCAGCCCCTAGAGGACGTTTTAAAGGGCACAGAAAGACAGATGGAGAGGTCCCCAGAGCAGGGCCTTGAGTTGGAGCTGGGTGCCCCGCCCTCCTGGCACTCCATAGGTTTTGCCATCTTTAGGTAAGGTGAGTGAGGGACTCACAGAGGCTTCCTCGAACTGTCACGACTGAAGCACAAAGTAGAAGAATGATTAGCAGAGTGTGACAGCACAGGCCTATAATCCCAGAACTCAGGGAGGCTGAGACAGGAGGATCAGAAGTTCAAGCCCAGGCTTCTCAACTTAGCGACTTAGCCAGACCCTGTCTCAAAATGAAAATTAAAAAGAGGGCTGGAGATGTAGCTCAGTTCAAAGGCCCTGGGTTCCATTCCTAGCACTGTAAAATAAATGAATAAGTTAATAATAAAAATAGAAATGTAATTAGACATGAGGCTCCAAGGTGGAGCTGGAGGGGGAGGGCGACCCCAGGGTGAGGGAGAGGAGCCTGGACAAGAAGTCCCCCTTCCAGCCACAGCTTAGTGACTTCCCGCCAAGCCTGTCTTCGAGCACCCAGACGCTGGGCCCTGGCTCAGATCTAAACCGTAACACTCTTCCCCTGGTCCCCAAAAGACTCAAACGTGCATCTCGTATGCACAATGCACTTAGCCCATCTCTGAGCACTGCCAGATTCTCAACCGTCCAGCACTGCCAAAAAGTCCAAGTCCTGTCTCCTCTGAGACTCAGGGCAAATTTAGCTCTGAGCCCCTCTGACAATGGGAAAGTTAAATACTGCACTCCACAAGAGGGCTGCAGGACACAGATTCCCAGTCTAAAAGGGAGGAATAGGCGGATAGAAAGGAGTGAGACCCGGCAAGACCAGGACCACAGGGCAAACGTTACACCCTGCAGCTCCATGACCAGCACCCGGGGGCAAGCCGTGGGGAGATGTGAGTAGCAGTGGCGTGGGGCCAATGTCTTTCCTTAGACGCTCCTGAATTCTCTAAACTTCTGGGGTCTCCACTGCACCTTCAGCTTAACACTCACAGCTTCACACACTGCCCCCTCAGGGGCCTGGTTCCCCAGGCTGCTTTGTGAAATCTGGGTGGAAGCCTCCTTGACCCCACAACACTTGCATTCTGCATCTACCAAACCAGCACCGCATAGATAACACCAAGGTCTGCTGCCAGCTGGAGCAGTAGCCAGACCCCCTTGGACCATATTTGCAGAGGCCTCTGGAGGCGTGGGTAGCTGAACTCAGGGAAATCCTTCCCTAGTTGGCTCTGAAAAGTAGGATGCCCTGGGACTCTCTTCTCAAAGCAAAACTTCAAACTTCAAATTTTCTAATTTTTAAATTTAACCCTTTCTACTCTTTATCCTTCAAAGGGTAGGGTCTGACCAATCCCTGAGGTATCTTCAAGCCATTTTTCCTATTCTCCTGATGCATAGTACTTGGATTCTTTTATTTTTATTTATTTATTTATTTTTGGTACCGGGGATCGAACTCCGGTCCTTCTGTTTGCGAGGAAGGTGGCAGAACCAATGAGCTAAATCCCCGGCCCCTGGATTCTTTTAAATGTTAATCTTTTTTTTTTTTTCTCTGAGTTGTTTTTATTTTCCTTTCTATTTTTACATTTGTTGTAAAATTTTCTTTTTAATGTTAATCTTTTTAACAATCATATTGTTTACTTTTTTTTTTTTTGGTGCTGGGTATTGAACTTGGGACCTTATGCTTGCAAGGCAGGTGCCAGAACCACTGAGCTAAACTCCTGGCAACAATCATATTCTTTTTTTTTTTTTTTTTTGGCAACGGGGATCGAACTCAGGACCTTGTGCTTTCGAGGCAGGCACCAGAACCACTGAGCTAAATCCCCGGCCCAACAATCATATTCTTAAAGGCCTCAACTTTCCAGGTGCTTGTTCTCTGATGAAATGGCAGACTTTTCAAATCATTCTGCTCTGATTTTATATCTATCTATCTACTTATCTGTCTGTCTATCTACTTATTTAGGTATTTTGAGACAGGGTCTATGTATTTCAGGCTGGTCTTAAACTCATTATGTAGCCCAGGCTGACCTCAAATTCACAGTGATCCTACTGCCTCAGCCTTTCCAGTGATGAGATTACAAGCGTGCACCACTGAACCCAGCTTGGCTCTGCTTTTTTCTCCTGATTTTCACAGTAATTCTGGCTAAAAGCAGCCAGGAGTACCCAGGCCACATCTTGAACATTGGGGTGCTTTGAAACTTCCTCTACCATATTAATTAGTCCATCATGTTTAAATTCATCCTCATACGGAGTCTTACGACTGGGGCAAAATGTGGACAACACACATGGCCTCTAGTCTGTCCAGTTGTCAATACAATCCTCCCGCCCATCTGAAACCTCCTGACCCTGGCCTTTACTGTCCACATTCCTATCAGCATTCTGGTCTTCTGAGCTCCATCAGAATCTCCTATCAAGCTTGGCTTAAGGCATTCTAGGGCTGCTTTTCCAGGCAGCATCTCCAAACTTTCCCAAATACTGCATGCAAATAAGTCCCAAAGGCTGTTAAGCCATATGGTAAGCTGCTGCCTCAGCCATAACCTACTCCTGGTACCAGTTTTCTGTATCAGTCAGCTTTTCTGTATTTGGGATAAAATACCCAATACCTACAACTTACAGGAGGAGAGGTTTATTTGGCTTACGGTTTCCAGTGGGTTCAGTCCATGGTCAGCTGGATCCAAGGCAGAAGCAGGTGTGCAGAAGGATGTGAGTGAAGGAAGGGTGCTCCCCCTGTGGTAAGCAAGAAGCAGAGGGAGGAGCCAGGGGCCAGAACTCACCCTTCCAGGTCATGCCTGTGACCCCACCCTCATCCAGGCTCCACGCCCGAGCAGGAATCTCCGGCACCATTTCAGACCTAAACCATAACGTCCACATGATTTAAGTCATGACTTTGATCATTTCTCCTTTTTGTCTCCAACCAAGTAGCATCAGATCCCGACTCAGCGGAGAGTCCTTCCCGGTGCGAAGCCTGCTCAGATGCTGAGCCCGCCAGCCTCAGGGTCAGTGCACAGGGCTCCTCACAGCACCCACTCACGGACACGCTCCCCACAGACCCCTGTCTCCGGGGACCCCACCTCCTGCACAGCCTGGCTTTCCATCTCGGGCACCTCGGTGAAGTCAGTGTCCTCCGCAGCGGTTCACGGACGGCTCGCCTCCTGCCCTGGAAGGAGTGCAGCGGGGCCCGGTGACGGCGACGACGACAGCCTCAAGGGTAATGTGTTGTCCCTGGCAGGAAGGGCCAGGTGGCACCTGGCAGCTTGCCAATGCGCTCTCTTTGTGGTAGCAGCACTCCAGACACAGGTGCTGTCCGGGCAGGCTGGGACATACTGTAATGCCCCTCCCGAGAGGCTGAGGCAGGAGGATCACAACTGAGGCCAAGTTGAGCAACATGGCAAGATCCTGTCTCAAAGCAAAAACAAGTCTGGGCCCATGGTTCAGGGGCAAGCACTTGCCTGACATGCACGAGGCCTGGCTCCGTCCCAGCCTGCCAACAACAGCAGTGAAAATACTTTGAGCTGGGCAGCGTGGCTCAGGCCTGTGACCCCTGCATCTTCGAGGCCGAGCCAGGACAATAGCAAGTTTGAGGCCAGCGTGGGCAATTTAGTGAGACCCTGTCTCAAAATAAGAAATCAAAGGGCTTGGGGATGTGGCTCAGTGCAAAGGCCCTGAACCCCCTATCACAGGTAAAAATAAAAGCGGGGCGCTGGTGTCCTGGGGGATAGCGGTGTGGGGCTGGGCCACCAGGCTGGGCACTGGCTGAGTGCTCTGCTCGGTCTGCAGGCGGCTGCCCCGTCCCCACTAAGAAGGAAGAGCAAGCGACCTGGTCCCCTCGGCCCCTCGGAGGGACATGGCCCTTCCTGGGGCTCCGCTGCCCTGCTTTCCCCAGTACCATCTCAGGGATGGTCCAGGCCCCACAGGGGCGTCTGAGAGTGAGGAGAGAGGCCCTGCCTGGACTTGGAGGCCCCAGGGTGGCAGTGGAGCTGGGCCCCGCCCAGCGAGGCAGGGATGCAGGTGACACCCACGTGATGGGGCAGAGAGCCCCACCACCCGCCACTTGGAGGACAAGGAGCCCCCTCGAGGGCCACTGAGGACAGCGCTGGGCTTCTCGCCCTTCTAAACATCTGTGTAGTGAGAAGGCGGCTCACACAGGGAAATTCATTGTTTATTTACAGATTTTAGGGTCAATATTTTGTCACTTGAAGATCTGGCCCCAGCCCTCTGTGAGAAATCAGACTGGGCACAGAGAGTAAGTACGGGGTCCTCGGCTTGCTCTCCCCGCCATCCCGTCCTTTTTCCCTGGTGCTGGAGCTGGAACCACGCCCTCCGCTGTGCCAGGCAGGCTCTCACCCGGAGCTACACCCCAGCACGAGTGGGTCTCTAATCACCAGACTGCCCAGGCTGGGATTGAACGTGTGGTGTGACCCTCCTGCTCAGCCCCCTAGTGGTGGGACCTTGTTGGGCTGGGTGTGGCATCTGCCGCATGCTCTTCTCCCGCCCCTCTGTCGCCCTTTACTCAGGGAGCCTGTGCGCAGGGAGAGAAGCCCTCAGGCAGCAGCCTTGCGGCCCAGGCGGCTGCTTCTGCTCAGCTGGAAGCCTCAGGACGGCCCCAACCACAGAGCTCCGCATTTCAGGGTGCGGCCACCCCTGGGGCTGGGGACAAGGGCGTCCCCACAGAGAGCAGGGCCTCGGAGTGCCTGGGTGGCAGCGTGTCCAGCAGGAGGCCGTGGTCCGAGGCCCCCTTGTGCAGCTTGGCGAGCACAGCCCACTCGCAGGACTTGGAGTGCTCACCCGGCCCCTCCCAGGGTGCCCCTGCCGGGACGCTGGACACCTTGTCCTCCAGTGCAGGGATGGCGCTCCTCCCCAGACCACCCTCGTGCAGGTGTGCCCGGGCCCGGCCTGCCACGAGAGTCACACTGAGGGAGACGGCGGTGCAGACACTGGACGTCGCCTCCACTGGCCTGTGGGCGGAGGGTGAGTGTGGCCGGTGGGTCCTGGGCTGGGACAGTGCCCGGCGTGTGGCCACGGGGTCCTGGGAGCAGGGCATGGGCTCTTACTGTTAACTAGCTGGGGGGCCCTGGCACCCTACTTCCACCTGCCCCGGGCCAACGTTTCCAGGGCCTTTCGGCTCTGCAACACCCTGGAAAGTTCCGGAGCCACCCGCTGCAGCAGTGGTTTGGACACTGGGCACATGGCCAGGTCACAGGCTGTTCGTTTTAGGTGCTGTGCTGAGGGACAGAGAGCTGGCGCTGGTGGGTGGAGGTGCGGGACAGCGGTGGCTCAGCACCCTCAGGGCACAGAGCACAGTGGTGCACCTGTCCTTGGGGACACCGTGTGCACCTGGCACAGGGGCGACGCGGGGCCTCCTGGGCCACCCTGGCCCGGCCTCACCAGTGTGGGGCAGGATGTGGTGCCGCTCACCGTCGCCTGACTCGCGAGCTCGGCCTGGCAAGGCCCTCGGCATCCGGTCGGGAAGGGGCTGGGGGCGCAGGCGGCACAGAGGCCTGTGCAACCCCAGTCCCTCCAGCGGGGGAAGAGATGCGTGAGGCACAGCGTGGCCCTGGGGCCGCACTCAGCCCTCCCTGTCCTCACCACAGTGGCCGGCGGCGGGGCCCTGGGAGGCACCTACGTGGACCCGGTGCCCATCGCCCCTCACGTGCTTAGCGCAGATGCCATCGAAGGTACCGGCTCGGGCCCTGCAGGGGTGGGCTTGTCCCCGCCAGCCCACTCCCGTGCTGGGCCAGGAGACCTCCGCAGGGACGGTCACCGGCGGCAGACTGCGGCTTCGCTTGTGCAGCACAGCAGGAAGGGGGAGAGCAGCTTCCTGCTGGAACTGGGTTCCAAGAGAGAGGAGGGAGACACAGAGAGTGAGAATGAGAGAAAGGAAGGCAAGATGCCCTGCCTTCGAGGCCACTCGGGAGGCTGAGGCAGGAGCATCGCCAGGGGTTCCAGGCCACCCTGGGCTACATAGGGAGACCTGTCTCAAAAAACAAAACAAGGCCCAGGGAGTTAGCTCAGTGGCACCCCGCCTGCCTCGAAAGCGCAAGGTCCTGAGTTTGATCCCACCTAACCCACCTAACAATTTTCGATCCTGACAAGATACTTTTACTCTGAATGCTCCATCTCGCGTCTTTTTGTACTTTACACTTTCAGTTGAATGTCTTTTTGTTTTTTTTTCTGGTGCTGGGGATTGAACCTGTGTGGCCTTAAGCATGCTAACCAAGTGCTGTACCACTGAGCTAAAACCTCAGCCTAGTTTCATTTTTAATTCCGTTTTTAACTTTTAGTTTGATTTTTAATCTTTGTTCTGAGTTGAATTTTAATTTTCTTGTACTTATTTATGCTGTGTGGCCCAGTCTGACCTTGAGCTCATGGCAGTCCTCCTGCCTCCGCCTTTTGAGTGCTGAAATCACAGGCACGTGCCACTGTGCCCCCCTGCCTTCCTCCCTCTCATTTTTGCAGTGCTGGAGATGGAATCTAGGGCCTGGCATGAGCTAGGCATGTGCTGTACCACTGAACTGTACCCCAGCCATTTATTAAATTTAATTTTTTCCCAGGAACATGTTTTTAGCCGAGTGCAATAGCAGGCATGGAGGCCAAGGCAGGAGGGTCCAGAGCCCCTTCATAGCAGGACCCTGCCTCTGATGCCCTGGCTGTTGGGGGGATCCCCAGTTGTGGGCATGTAAAGCAGCCCATGGTGGGGCTGAGGGGTGCTGGGAGCCAGGAGTGACATGGAGGGGCAGCCCTGACAGCTCACAGCCCGGCGGCGGTGGCGCTCGAGGACCTGCTGAGGCAGCAGCTGCACCTGACGCAGCAGTTCATCCAGGCCAGCCGCCACCTGCACGTGTCACTCCTGCAGTCGCTGGACGGGGACACCTTCCACTACCACAGCCTGGAGGAGGCCAAGGAGGTAAGCAAGTGGGGTGGCCCAAGGGCTGCCACGGGTTAGGTCTGGGGACACAGCCCGGCCGAAGGAGACTGCTGTCCGCACCATCTCCCCAGGCAGGCTCTGTCCCCTCCCGGGCTTTGTGCTGCCCGGTGCCTTGAGATGTCACCCTGCCTCTTCTCCCAGAAATTGTTTCTGTCGGACATCCACAAAGACACCCACAGTGTACAAATCTCAGACTGTGCTGCTTGCAGCCCCGTGCAGCTTCCGAGGTGTGTATACCTCAGCCCCACGGTCCCTCACGTTTTCTGCGCCAGGTGTGAACCACGTGATGTGAAAGTGTTCACAGGAATCCCATCAGACCCGAGGCGCTGCTGTCTCTATTTTCCCTTTGCTATGCAAATATTCCAGTGTGTTTCTGAAAACGACTTCATTATTTATTTTGTTTTTTGGGTTTTCCTTTTGAGATAGGGTCTCACTATTAGTGAAGACTGGCCTTGAACTTGCAGCAATCCTCCTGCCTCAGCCTCCCCAGCACTGAGATTACAGGCCTGGAGCTCACTATGTAGCCTAGGCTGGACTGGTACCCCATGGTGATCTTCCTGCCTCAGCCTCCCAAGTGCTATGGACTGGTTGAAAATAACTTTTAAAAATACAATCAACAGCTCAGCGGTGCTGGCGCCTGACTGGCAAGTTCCTGAGTTTTATCCCCAGTACCAAAAAAAACAACAATTAAAAAATACAATCAACAGCTGGGCATGGAGGCCATGCCTGCCACCCCAGCATTCTAGGAGGCTGAGGCAGGAGGACAGCAAGTTAGACCTTGTTCAGAAAATAGGAGTCAGGGATGTAGCTCACTGCCGAGGCCCCAGCCTCAATCCTCAGTACAGAAAATCAAAACAAACAAAAGTCACAATGTCACTGATATGAGAAATTCAGTGTTCAGATTTTCCTTGTCTTGTTCCAGCCATGCGTTTTATCCTGATTTAAGCTTATCTGCGTGTTTACTGCCAGGGATGGAACCAAGGCCTTGCACATACTAGGCAGTGCTCCACCAAGCAGCTGCACCTCAGTCCTTTCTATGTTGAAACAAGGTCTCACTGGGCTTAAACTTGAGACCCTTCTGCCTCAGCCTCCTGAGGACCTAAGTCACAGCACCACACAGTACCCGAAATCTCAAGGGTGCACCAGACCTGGCAGTGTGCTGGGGCTGGAGGCCAGGACCTTGCATGCTGGGCACTTGTGCTGCGCCCTGGCCCACTCGGGCACTTTCCAGCACGTCAGTCCAGAGCTGCACCTGCTTGGCCCCAGTGGGTTGTGAGGCAGCTGCTAGCCTAGCCTGGTGGGGGTCCCAGGGGGGCCACTCTCCAGCCCCGCCCCGCTTCCTCAGTTTACTTCGGGCTCACAAGAGACAGCATGTTCTGGGCTGGCCTGGCTGGGGAGTCACCTCAGCCAGTTACCGCGGGTGCAGTCTACCCGTGCCCCTTGCTGCCCAGCCCTGTGTGCTGGGGGCACCCGGGTCCCCCTTCTAAGCCCTCGCTCCTGCAGAGCCCTGCCCAGCACCATGCAGGCCCTGGCAGTGATGGTCCCCGTGCCCCTCAGTATGTCAGGTGCCACAGGCCTGGGCCGCTGACGGTGGAGGACACCCCGCAGGAGGTGATGGAGGAGCCCTGAGCGCCGCGGAGGTGCGTCCCTGCCCAGGTGACAGCGGGACACGACAGGGACGCAGCACCCCCAGCAGGCAGGGTGGCGGCAGGTGGCAGCCGAGCACCAGGAGGAGGCCCTGGGTCACACAGCGTGGAGCCGGGGTTTAGAAAAGGGCTTTATTGGAAGGCAAAACAGTAAAATCCACAAGAAACTTTTAATAGAATGTGTGTTGTCCCGGATCAGACACGCTTGAACGAGTCACAGCTACAGGAAATCTACAAGAAACCAAACATCCTACACGGGTGGAGTTGTGGGGTGCGCGGTTGAAAACAATTTCCCCAAAATTTCTGTACAACCACCACCCAGGAGACAGGGCCTGTGGGCGGGCAGCCACAAGGCACCGCCCAGGCCACGCCCACACAGGGCGCGCCACGGAGCCACAGCTGGGGCCAAGGAGGGCCGCGTGCACATGCGCACTGGTAGGGGTGGGGGGTCCGCGGAACGCAGGCCCGGGGATCCCGGCTCCCATCCTGTCCCCTCCTCTCCCGGGGCGACAGAGGGCAGATACCAGGGAGAACGGCGACGTGGACAACTAAAGTAACGAGGGCACCCTGCCCAGCGCCGCTTCCGCTGGGGGACCGGGGCGTCGCCAGCGCCTCTGCCGGGTGCCGCGCCCTGCGCCCTGGCTCCTGTCCTCGCCCCGGCCGGCCTCCTCGGTAGGTCTCCGCGCCTAGTCTTCCTTCTCCTCCTTGCGCGCCCCGAACGTGGAGACTGCGCGACAGGTCAGACAGGTCAGCGCGGGCTCAGCGGCGGAGGGGCGGGGCGGGGCGGGGCGGGGCGGGGCCGACCACTCACACTCGTCCCGGGCCTTCATGCGCGCGATGAACGAGTAGCTCTTGTTGCGCCGGTAGTTCTCGTAGGGGTCGTCCAGCGCCACGCCCACGCCCTTGTACTGGTCCCACTTGTCGCGCACATCCCCGCCCTTGATGGGGTCCTGGATGCCCTGCTCCTTGGCGCCCAGGCCGCCAGAGCCGCTCCAGCCTGGGAGGGGGCGGCGACAGGTGAGGGTCCGCCCGCCCTGCAGGCCTGGCCGGGTGCCCACGGGAGAGCGCGGTGCCCGCCTGTGCCCGCGTCACTCACCCATCTTCACCAGCATCTGGTGCCCCTTGTTCTCTTCCCCGAGCCGAGAGTCGGGTATGGGAGGTGCCGAATTCGAACCCAGACCCGCCGAGGAACTAAGCAAAGACCGGTAGGGTTTTAGAAAAGCCAGAACAAGTTTACTAAACGACAGCGCCCGGCCCCCAAACGCTGGCTACCGTGAGGCGGACGCTGGCTTTGGGCCTCTGGCTCCCCCTCGTGCCGATGAGGGGTCCTCAGGGTGCCCAGTGTCACAGTGCAAGGGCCAACGAGGCTGCAGGCTGCCCAAAGCCATCGCCGAGGCGGACAGAACGGGGCGGGGACTTACGGTGGCGTGGGGCTCCGGGACCGAGAGCGGCGCCTCCTCCCCGGGGAGTAGGACTTGGACCGGGACCGAGAGCGGGACCTGGAGCGGCTCCGGGAGGAGCGGGACCGGCTGCGGCTCCTGCAGGGACGCACGGGTCAGCGCGGGCTCGGGGCGCAGGCTCGGGGGCGGGGGGCGGGCTGCCTACCTGGACCGGGAGCGCGAGTAGGAGCGCGAGCAGGAGCGTGACCGGGAGCGTGAGTAGGAGGCCGACGACTTGGAGGAGCGCGAGTTGGAGCGGGAGGAGGAGCGGCCCCGGCTCTTGGATCTGCTCCGGGACCTGGAGGGTCCGCTGTGGGGACCACGCAGTGAGGACGCCGCCCACCCGGCCCAGCTGCCCGCGGCCCCCCTCGGGACAGCAGCAGCCCGGGCCCGCCCCTGCGCCCGCACCTGTTCCTCTTCTCCTGGCCCTTCCGCCGCCGCGCGCGCATCTTGGCTCGGAAGAACTCGTAGAGGCCGTTCTGCTCCCAGCCTTCGCTGCGAGGCACGAGTGCGAGTGACATCCCTCCCTCCATGGGACTGCGGGGCCACCACCAGGAGCCACCCTGCCCCTCCCCGCGCCACACCGCCCAGGGACAGGGACCCAGGCTCATGCAGGACAAGCCCCGGCCTGGTGGGACACGTCCGTCCCCGGCCAGGCGCCCTGGGGCCGTGTGTCCTGCCTGCCTCATCCGCTGGGCACTGGTCGGCTCCACCCTGCACCACCCCGCACCTGTTGCGGGGCCTGTCGTGGGAGGGCGGGCTGTAGAAGGCCTCTACCGCGGCCAGCAGCCTCTCGCTGGGCGGCATGGGGGGCGGGAGGCGGATGTCCTTGGGGTCCAGGGGCTTGTACTCGTGGTCTTCCAGCTGCGGGAGCGACGGTCAGCTGCCTGGGCACCGCAGCCCCGACAAGCCCCCCGACCCTGGCCAGCAGGAAGCACGGGGTGGGGCACACAGAGCCCCTGGGGTGGGCAGTTTCAGTTGGGGACGCCTGCTCTGCGCCCTTCACACCCAGCCTGATGCTACCCTCCCCTCTCCTCCGCGTGCCCACGGTGCTGCGTCCGCGCAGGTGAGGAATCCACCAGGCCAGTGGGCTCCCGGGGGCGGTGCCGGGAGTGCAGGGCGTTACCTTCACCAGTGGGGCCATGAGCCCGGCGGGGAGGTCGAAGTAGGGCACGTTGGGCACCAGGCTGGGGTCGTCGTGGTTGATGTGGGGCGGGCCCTGGCGCCGCATGTGGGGCGGCTGCCCGTTGAAGCCGTGGGGGGGCGGGCCAAAGTCGGGGTGCTGGGGCCCGGCCCAGGGCGGGTGCTCGTTGATCCCAGGGTGAGGCATGCGGTGGCCGGGATGGTGGTGGGGAGGCCCCATCTCTGCCAGAGAGACGCCTGGCTCAGTGACAAGCGCCAGGCTCTTCCTGGCTGAGGGGCAGCTCAGCCCGGCCGGGCTGGCTTCAGGCCACTGGCCACGCACCCAGCCTTTGTGTCCGCAACTCCGGACGGGTCTGGCTCTGCACTAGGGTCGCCGGGGCGCCCAGGCTGGCTCCAACTTGAGAGCTTCCCGCCTCAGCCTCCCATCACCTCTCCGACCTCCCTCCACCCTGGGCGGAGCAGGGACCGCCACGGTCCGGGCCCTCACCGGCGGGGAAGTCGCCCTGCGGGTAGTCGAAGCGGTGTGGGTACGGGGGCCGTTCGAAGGGGTGCCGCGGGGGGAAGTCGTCCTGCATGAAGCGGGGTGGGAAGCGGTTGAAGTTGTGCGGGTGCGGCGGCTGGCCGAACTGCGGGTGCTGCTGGTGGGGCGGGAAGGGCCCTCGGAAGTGTGGCGGCCGCTGCATGCGGAAGGGCGGCTCACGCTGCCCCGCGCCCCAGGGCGGCTGCTCGTGCTGGCTGTTCCAGGGGCCCTCGAACTGGCTGTTCCAGTTGGGGTCGGGCTGGCTGTTCCAGGGCGCGTCTCGCTGGCCGCTCCAGCCGGGCTCCCCGCGCTGCTCGCCCCACATGCCCTCGTGGCTGTTGCTCCAGGGTGGGCAGTGGGGCGGGCCTCCTTGGTGGTGCGGGTATGGGGGCTGCTCGGGCGGCTGCAAGGAAGTGCAGGGTCAGCCCGCCACAGGGCGTCTGGGCCCTGCCACCGCCCGCCACCCCACCGCACCCAGGCGTCTCTGCCGCCACCGCCGGCCAGCTGGGATTTGGGTCGGGGTGGAGGGCAGGGCCTTGGCCCACACCACCCGCGGTCGTACCTGCTGCTGGCCCCAGGGGGCGACCGGGTGCGGCTGGTCAAACCAGGGGGGCTTGGTGGGTGGGATCTGGTCATGGGGCCCAGGGCCCCGGGGGCCTGCGGCCGCAGGATCCTGGACAGCCCCTGCAGTATCGTACTCTGAGGAGCTGGGCATCTGGATGGGCGGCTTGCTGTCATCTGCCCCGGGGAGAGGAAGTCAGAGCCTGGGCGGCAGGGGGAGCGGCTCCTGCAGCACCCGGCGCCAACCTTGCCTGGCCTCCCCAACAGCCACCTCCTTCCAGGGAGGGAACCAAGGGCACACTTGTCCTCTGATCCCTCCTGACACATGCTGGTCGGTCCCAGCCACCCCATTCCAGTTTGCACAGGAAGTTTTCCTGCCATTGTAAATTAGTACATCATTTTTCTAGTTAAAAGCTTACAGCTGGGAGGCTGAGGCAGGAAGGTCACGAGTTTGAGGCCAGCCTGGGCTACACAGCGGGTTTAAGGCCACCATGGATTACTACCCTAGTGAGGCTGTCTCAACAACAAAACAACCAAGAGTTCACTTCCCTCAGTTAGGCTGTTTTTGGGTGGCATCTGGCCTCCTTGTCCACACTGCGTATGTGCTGGATCACTGAGCTGCTGCCCAGCCCTAACCCAGTGGGGATTTGAGATAGGATCTCACTGTTGCCCTCGCTGGCCTCAGGCTCCTGGGCTCAAGGGATCCTTCTGCCTCAGCCTCCCGAGTGGCCAGGCTGCTGGCTGTGCCAATGAACGTGGCCTTTATAGCCACTGTCTTACTAGAGCCTGAGTACTGAACGTTCTCGTAATCCCAGGCAGGTCCTGTCTGATGTGATCTATTCCAAATACAAGTTCCATATCCCTGATCCAAAATGCAGGGACTGGAAGCGTTTGAGACTTCAGTTTTTTTTTTTTTTTTGGTACCAGGGATCGAACTTGGGTCCTTGTGCTTGCGAGGCAGGTGGCAGAAGCACTGAGCAAAATCCCTGACCCAACTTCAGTTTTTTGAATTTTGGAATATTTGTAAAGATTTTACTGAGCATCCCTAATGTGAAAACCCAGTCAGAGACTGCGGGGGTGTCTGATTCCTCTCAGTGCTAAAAATGCTGCCGATCCCAGGTTCTGGGATGGGGGCCGTGCAGCCTGTGCTCCGCTGGATTTCATCTTAGGTTTCCCCAGTGCTTCCACACCTCTGCCATGCATGCATTCTGGCCCCAAGCCACACCAGCCCAACTGCAGTTTTAGCCCTTGCATCCCACTCCTCCTATCAGAAGCTATACCAGCCCTGAGCTGAGCGGCAGCTGTCCGGCTCCCGCTCCATCCTGTGGACCACACAGGGCAGGCGTGTGCGCTAAGCGGTCACCAGCCAGTGGCACAGGAGCCAGGGAGGAAAGGGCGGCCTGGAGGCGGGCAGGGGGAGAGGGAAGCTGCTCCCAGGGCGAGTCTCCTACCAGGCTGGGTGGTTGGTGGGATGGCCGGGGTGGGCGTGGGTGCTGGCGGTGGTGCCGGTGCTGGTGGGGGCGGCGTGGCCTTGACCTCGGGCTCCAGCTGGGGCATCTGGACCTGCTGCTGCTGCTGCTGCTGGGCCAGGCTGCTGACGAACTCCTCGTGCTGCGTCTTCAGCGTCTGGATCTGCTGCTGGAAGGCCAGCTGCACGGGCTGCACCACCGATGAGTACTCGCTGACCAGGGTGGCCTGTCGGGGAGGGAAGGCAAGTGCTCAGGACGCCAGCCCACCAGGCCACCCCAGCTCAGCCAGGGCCTCCCGGGAACGGGAAGGAGACTGCAGCCAGGGTCACCCCGCTGCATGGCCATGAAAATGTGTGTGGGGGGTCACCTGGGCTGCAGCTTGGTTCGGAGTGCCCGCCTGGCATGCCTGAGGCCCTGGGTTTCCCCCCAGCATGGCAAACACCAGAAACCAAAACACCATGGAGAAGCCCTGTGGACACACTGTGGGGCTCAGCCACTAACTTCCTGCACAGCTTCCAACAGACCACAGGGCCCCACGAGTTTCCTCGCCCAAAAGACAGAACAGGGCTATGCAGTCCAATATGAGGTCTCATGAAAGAACAGGCCCAGGCACAGCTCAGTACACACAGTGCCACCAGGTTGGGAGGCAGAGAGCAGGTGACCGACAGTCCTAACAGAATGGCTCTGTTTTACCAAGAATGGACAAGGGGGTGACATTTAGAAAAACCATGGAACGCAGGGTCCTGTCGGCCCTGGTGGGCATGAGCCCTTCTCCTGTGGGGAGGAAGTGGCCTTCAGGACATGCAGAAGAAAGAGTTGGAGCTGTGTGCCTGTCCCGGGGGGCCGCGTGCAGCAAGTCCCCAGGCCAGGTGTGGGAGAGGAGGCAGGGCCTGGCTGGACGCTTGCTGGGGACTCACCTGGTACTGGCCGAGGCCCAGGGCCGGGCTCTGTAACTGCTGAATGATGGAGTCATCGAAGTACCCATTCTTCTCCCAGAGCTGCAGGAGCTGGAGGGAGCAGGAGGATGAGGACAGGAGGAGGAGAGGCCATCAGGGTGCAGCCCAATGCCCTCGAACCCCCCCAGCCCGCCCGCCACCTCCTGTACCCGGGCGATCTTCTGCTGCTTGTCCTCCTCCACAGCCAGGAAGCTGGTGCAGTAGATGGGCACCACCACCTTCTGCAGGGCGGCCAGCAGCTCCCGCGCCTGCTTGCGCTGGCTGTGAGGGAGAGACCTTCCGCGCGTCAGGGCCCTGGGGTGGGACCCGGCCACGCGCCCGTTACCATTGTGGCTCCGGCCACGGCGCCCTCTGCCTTCTCAGGAAATGGACCCCGACCCAGCCTGGAGGGAGCTGGTCTGGGGAATGCAGGGAGGGGTGTGGCCCAGGCCCGGTGCCCTGGAGAGGTGTGGAGTGTGCCTGCCCTCCCCAGGTGGCGGCAAGGATGAAGGGACGGGATGCTGTAAGAGCCACGCATGTGCAGGGCCCGAGAAGCCTGCCTTGTGCTCCGTCACCTGCTAAGCACAAAGCCGAAGCCACCCAGGAGAAAGAGGGGCTGTGCCCAGCTGTGGAATGGCCAAGAAGTCTCCAGGGCCATATGCCGGACCCAGCATGGTGGCGCCCAGCCAGTGAGGCGCATGTCACATGCCCCATGGCGGGAAGGTCACAGGCAGAGTGGGCGGCTCTAGCTCCAAGCTGGGGCCAGGGAAGCATCCAGGCAGAGCTGTGACAGGAGGAGCAGAGCAGCACAGGAAAGCAGGAGGGCGGCTGCCGGGTTCACAGCCTCAGGAGGGAGGAGGACAATGCAGGATGGGGAGAGGGGAGCTGAGCAGGGCTGCGATCGCTCAAGGTGAGAGGTGCTGGTCGGCAGGGCGGGGAACCCGGGCCAGCACTGCGGCTCCCTGGAGCCACCGCGCCCTTCACTGGCTGTCCCTGCACACGACCAAGCTCACAGGCAGCGGGCAGTGGCTGCGACTGTGATCCACTGGGGTCCCCAGCACCCCAAGTCAGCTCCCCACACCTGGGCCTCTGTGGGTCCCCAGGGGCCACAGAAGTGAATCCCTGCCAGACTCGGGAAAGGTGGGACTGGGCCATGTGGACCCCAGGAGGTCAACAGTGCAGAGGACAGAGGGGCGCGGCGGCCAGGTGACGGGAGGGACGGTGGCCTGGGGTGGGAAGGGGCAGGAGGGGCAGGGGCCGGCCGCTCACCAGTGGTGCAGCACGTCGTTGATCAGGTAGATGAGGTGTAGGCGGAGCTCGAAGTGCGCGCCATCGGCTGTGATTCGGTTGCGGAGGTGGCCAGCCATCAGCTCGCAGTGTGGTGGGGACTTGGCGTTGCTGAACATCCAGTTCTTCCCGGCCTGCGACAGCAGCGGGGGTGAACAGGGGCCCCCAGCCAGCCTCGCCCTGGTGCCTGAGGAGCACGGGCCTCACCGAGATGGCATCCTTGGTGCACGTGTCGATGATGGGCTGCAGCAGGTTGTCGAACTCGTTCATGTCCAGCTGTGTCTCCTCCAGCAGCTTCTGCATCTGCTGCTCCACGGCATGGGCCACAGCCGCTGTCACTTGCTCCTGGGGTGGGAGAGGGACGGAGACACCGTGAGGAGGGATCTCAGCATGGGCCTCTGCGAGTGGGGTAGCCGGCGTGTGGCTGGGTGTTGACAGGGACACCGGCGCCTCCTCCCACACTGGCTGAGGACAGGGCGGACAGAGGGCTGAGGAGCCCACGGGGGATGGAGGTCATGTGGTCACAGGAGGGATTGGGGGGGACTCCGCCGGGAACTGTCCGAGGTGCGTGGGAGGGACCTTGGGGCAGCAGGGCCTTCGTGCCCAGGGCCAGGGGTAGTGGCTGAGGTGTGCCAACGCCCCGTCCCCGCGGCCCTGGGCCCCACCTGTCTGAGGGCCAGCAGGTGCTGCTCTTGCTGCTGCAGGTTCCACTGGCTCTGCTGGATAAGCTCATCCACTGATGGGGTGCCCTGGGCTGGTGGCACGGGCGCGGCAGGTGCCAGTGGGGGCTGCGGCAAGGGGGGCAGGGTGGCAGGGGGCTCCAGCTCAGGTGCCTGCTGCTTGCAAATGACTGGCAGGGAGAAAAGGCACATGAAGGCATGGCAGGGCCCAGGGTCCCCTGCTTGTTCCATAGAGTCGGTGGGCACCCCGGGGCCCAGGCCCAGCCTCTCTCCCTGCAGCACAAACCCCAGGCTGTTCCAGCCACCAAGCCCTCAGCGTCCACTCTGTCCTCTCCTTGCATGGCCTCGGGCTCACCCAGCCGCCCCAACTCCCTCAAGTGTTTCCCTGCTCCCAGCCTCCTCGGCAGCCATCTCTGACCTCTCCACTCTCCTCTCTTTTTCCCTTCCCTTTGAAGACCCCTGGCTGCCATCCCCACAGCTGCACCCCACAGCCTCACTGCACCTCGGCATCCAGGCCTTCATCCAGCTTGGCTGGCACCGAGACGCTGCCGTATAGGCCCAACAAGGTGGGCAGGCCATGAGACAGGAAGGTGGGCTTTGGGGAAGCCACAGACAGCATAGCACCTGGTCATCGCTCAAGAACAGGGGTCCTAGAATCTGTTCTCATGTTCACTTCTTCATTCTGCCTCCCAGCAGTACCTACACTCTCTGTCACTCAACCTCCCTTAGCCTGGGTCCCTCCTGCAGCCAGGTCACACCCGGGACTCCCAGCCCCTCCTTCATGCCCCACCCCAAGGCTGCAGGATGGGCTCCCTCAGCCCCTCAGATCTGGCTCGTCCTCCCCTGCTCCTGTCCAACTCTATGCTGGGACGCTGGGCCTGTATCCTAAGCCCTTCTCTGCCCTCAGACCCCAAGGGAACATGCTGCCACTACCATTCCTAACCGTTAGCTCCCCTCTGGAGCCGATGGGCTCCAAACACTTGGCTCTTGGCTGCTTATACCCATACCACTTCCTCCCATCCATCTCCATGGCTGGCACGCAGCCCACGTGCCAAAGAACCACCCCTGAATCACATTCCCTGATGTCACCTGCACCACCCTGGGAACTGACCTCCTTGCCTCAGGTCCTGCTGACCCTGTGCCTGGCCCCAGGCAACAGGCAGCCACAGCACAGGGAAGTGAGCAACTGACCCAAGGCAGATTGGAATTCTGAAAACTGGAAGCCCCTACCCGGGGCCTCACCACAGAATCTGAAAAGAGCCTGGGTGAAGAGCTAGAGCCACTCTGGCTACCTGCATTCTCACCTGTAAGCCACAGCCTATTGCTCCCCAAAGCCTCCGGGGTGGTTCCTCCTGGCTCAGCTGGCCAGCCCTCTCTGCCCTGTGGCCCCACCTCCGGCCAACCCTGAGTTCTACCCCCTCTTTCCTTGGCTCCGAATGCTTCCTTTCTCCTCAGTTCCCACCTGGAAAACTCTACCCCATCCTTTAGATTCTGACCAAGGTACTATGCCCTGGAGAAAGTGCCCCAAAGCCAGCCCTCCATACAGGCACCTGCTGGTCTCCCTGTGAGGGCACCAAGTCCCACGTGGGCCCTGGTGTCTGGTCCTCCAGGTGGGGAGATCAGCCATGAGCTTCTTGTGCTGAGAGAGCAGCTCTGGGCTCCAAGGGGGTTCAGCTCAGGCACCTTCCTGCACTGGCTTACTGCTCCACCCCTCATTGATACCCAGCAAGGCCCAAGCTTATGGACTGTACTCCTATGCCCCCCGCCCCCGAGCTGCACCCATGCCTGCACCTAGACCTGACTTCATCCACACTACAGCATCGTTCACCCGGGGTGCAGTCCCAACCCCTGCTCTCCAGCCCATCCAGCCTGTCTTCCACACTGGCCACACACCCATCCCTTGGGTGCCCTTGTTGTAAACTCTTATGCTTTTTAAGCTTGCTGTGTTGGCACAAAAATGACCTAATCAAGGCCTGTCTGACTTCAGAGAGCAACAACCCAGGGACTACGTCTCCGTCTTCCCCATGCTGAAGACTGAGCCGCACATCCCAGCCCGCTTTTATTTTGTTTCTTTGGGGGGGGGGGTACTGGGGACCAAAGTCAGGACCTTGTGCTTGCAAGGCAGGGGCTATGCCACTGAGCTACATCCCAGACCTCCCAGCCCGCTTCTGAGACAAGGTCTCACTAAGTCACTAAAATACCCAGGCTGGGCTGGAACTTGCAGTAGTCCTGCCTCAGCCCCCTGGAGGCGCTGGCCAGCAGCTGTCCCCTTTCAATGCCATTCTACTTGGAGATTTGCCACTGGATGTGGGCCTTGCCCTGAGGACCGTTACCACAGGGTGACTAGTTATCCATCCTTGAAAGACCAGCGGCGTTTCCTAAGCTCATCAACTCCTAGTATCCAACAGCAAAAACTGATGACCACAGGCCAAGCCCCAAAGCCCGGATTGACAATTCTTTCTGATCTGTGCACGTGAAATACACAGAACTCTGGCTGGACAGTGTCCCCCCTCCCCCGCCCCCCGCACACCGAGGTTGTTGCTCCAGCTCCGCGATCTCGTCTGCAAAACCAGCAGAGTTCCTGATTCGCAGCCCAGAGGGGATCGAGAACCAGCTGAGCGCACGGTCCCAGGCGCCTGCTACCAGCACAGGCCCGGAACCCGGGGAGGCCCACGGGACTCACGCTGCTGCTGCTCCAGCGCCAGCTTGCACTTGTAGTAACTGTAGAACTCGCCTCCGAACAGGAACGAGAACTTCGGGTTGTCCTTTTGCTTCTCCATCGTCATTTTCTCAAACTCGGGCCCATTGCGAGCCACGAACTGCGCCAGCTTGTCGATGACATTTCGGAGCTCCTGGTCTGCGGAATGGAGAGAAGGCCACGCGGGGCGTCAGCGCCGACCGCCGGGGTCGGGCCTCGGGGACCCCGTCCAGCCTCAGTCCGCCGGGGCTGGAGCGTCCGCTCTCCTACGGGTCCCGATAGGGGCCACCCGCCCGCCAAGAACCCGGGAGCCGCGGAGGAGGCCCGGTCGCCGAGGCCGCACCCGGCCCCTGCCCGGGCCTGGGGACTCCTGGAGGCCGGGTGGGGCGACGGGAAGTCCAGAGAGCGACCGACGGTCTCCGATACGGGCTGGGCCTCACCGTCTGGCGGCAGCGGCATCTCCATAGCTCCGGCCGCGGGGAACGACCTCCCGCGCCTCACAATCGCGCACCAGCGCCGTCTACGGAAGCCGGCCGGAAGTGGCGCGAGGGAACAGTTTACGGCGGGCCTCGTGGGCAACTTCCTCTCGCCACTTACGGCCGTCGCCTGGAAACTTCGGAAGTGAGGTTAGGAGGCGGGCGGGAAGGAGTCGCGCAGGGCTCGGCGGGGCGGGGGAAGCTGGTGAGGCGCACGCGTGGGGCGTTCTGGAGCATGCGCAGAGCCGGCCGCGGCGGGCGCGACTGGCGGGTCGATCGGGGTTGGCAGTCTGGGGCGTCCCTGCCCCGCGCCGGGCGTCTGTTTCCGTCCTGCGGGCGTGTTGAGGAGTCCGCGAAGTGAGGCTTGTTCGAGGCCTCGAGCGCGGAAGGAGGCGGAACTGGGCATACTGGGTTGGGTCCCCAGGTCGCCACTGCTACTGTGGTTGGCTGCGCTTCGCTATGCGAGCACGGGTAGCTTAGGTTTTTTTCTTTGCGGTACTGGGAATTGAACCCAGGAGTTTCTCAGCTCCATCCCCAGCCCGTTTTGTGTTTTTGAGACAAGGTTTCGCTAAATCGTCCAGGCTGCGTTCAGACTTGCAATCCTCCTGCCTCGGCTTCCCAGAGTGCTGGGGTCACAGGCGTGGACATCACACCCTGTTTAATTTCTAGTTTTGGGGTTTTTTTTCTGGTACCGCGGATCGAACTCAGGACCTTTCGCTTGCAGTGCAGGCGGCGGAACCACTGAGCTAAATCCCTGGGGCAACGCCCAGCTTTTTGAGAGTGGTTCTCTCTCTTGCCCAGGTTGGCCTTTCCTGACCTCAAGCAATCCTCTAGCCACAGCCTCCAGGTATGTGCTACAACACCTGGCATCACGTGATTCTCACTAGGATCTTTGGACCAGAACAGGTTGATGAGTCTGTGTTGCCATTTTTAAGGCTGGGAGGGATTCTGGGTTCACGTTGGAGTGAAACTTTGGAGTCTCTTGAGTTGGATCAATTCCATTTTTAGGCCACTATTGAGTCGCTGGGCATGGTGGTGCACACGTGTAATCCCAGCACTCAGGAGGCTGAGGCAGGAGGATCACAATTTCAGTCCACTTTTTGCAACTTGGCGAGACCTGTCTTAATTAAAGGTGAAAAGGGCTGGGCCCCTGGGCTCCATCCCCGGGACTGAAATGGCTGTGTGTGGAAGGAAACCCTGTAGGCTCCGGGCTTGCATGTGCAGTACCCATCTCGCTCAGCTGCTGTCCAGGTTGCACACCCACGGGCGTGGCTTGCACACATCCTGCAGGTAGATGCCGTGGATAGACAGGAAGCAGGTCACCGGCCCTCCCCCAGCTCGTTCTCTTTGTGGGAGCAGTGGGGATGGGATCCAGGGCATGTACCACCTGACACTTGGTCCTGCCCAGATGCCCAGCTGGCCTGGAACCTGCCATCCTACTGCGACAGCATCCTGATGGGCATGTGCACAGCGCCTAGCTCCCAGGCTCACTGGGACAGGCACAGTGAGAAACCACTGTGGGGAAAGTCGAGCTGGTGGAGGCTCTGGGGCAGCACTGTGGAGCCGGGCGCTGAGCCTGTCCAGCATGCCTCGAGGACACAGCCCCACTGGGCCCAGTCCCCTGGTCTCCTGTGCTGTGTGCCGTTCTCACACTCACGTGCTGACGGGATGCGGGGGCCTCCGGGATGCAATCAGGATCAGGTCACAGGGCGGCCCTGTGACAGGGCAGGCAGCTCTGGCACTGCGTCCCCACAGCAGATCCCGTACCTCGGTCTGGGACTTGCATCCCAGAACTGTGGGCCAAACAAACTGCTTTATCAGTCACCCCATCTTGGGTGCCGCACTATAGCACTCGAACACAGGCAGCACAGTGGAGGGGCAGACCCTGTGCACACTGTTCGGGGGGATTTGTCCTGGGCAGCAGCCTGCGCTGTCACTCATGGCCACACAGCTGGCTGGTGACATTCCATCACGCCACAACAACCACGCACACACACAGCTCAGGGAGCACACTGACTACACAGCACAGCACTGCGGTTCCTGTGACTTTCCAGAGATGACACGAGAGTTGTCAGACTAATGGCAAATTCATTTTGCTCTTTTTAAAATTTAAGTACTCGCTGTGTTTTTCAGTCATACCCGTGTATGGTGGAGGCAAGGGAAGAACCCAGCTCGCTGTTGCGGTGACCGTGACATGCAGGGCCCTGGTTTGGGGATGGACACTCCGGGGCACAGGCCGAGCTATGGGCCAGGGTGCTGTGCCTCTCCTACCCACTCGCTCACGTGGGCCTGGCAGACGGAGCCACTATACTCCCTAGAGACAATGCCAAGTGCTTCCTGGGGGACGCTTACCAAGGGTTCCTGTTCCTGCAGGTCTGGCACCCCAGATCACTGAGCAGGATGGGGTGACAGGCCCTGGGCAGGTGGAGCAGAGATGTGTGCCCCTCCTCCATCATGGGGTTGAGCAGCAGGGAACCTGGCTTTGTGGCTGGGCCTGAGAGGAGCCCACAAGGCCCCGGGCTCCTTCCCAGCACCCAGAGCCACAGACAGCAGGGCTGTGCAAAAGCCCCTTGCGCACCAGGCAGACAGGCCCTCAGGGTGCGCTGCCCTCACCCTGAGCTCGCCTTCTGGGTGCAGTTAGCCATGTCTTCTGTTCAATAAAAGCATGTTAATAACAGTGTAGCTGTGGTTCTACAGTTTATTTTCAAATATATCATTATTTGGTTTTTGTGATACTGGGGATTGAATCTAGAGCCTTTTTTATTTTCTGAGACAGGGTCTCGCTAAGTCGCCCAGGCTGGGCCTGAACTTGTGACCCTCCTGCCTCAGCCTCCCACAGTGCTGGGAATGCAGATGTGCGCCACTAATGACTTGCTCATGATTCCATTTTTATTCCATCAATTCATTAATTCACAAGTCAGTCGATCCTAAGATTTGGCCCAGAAGAGAACAAAGGGCCGTGGCATAGCCAGGTCGAGCACAGGCAGGTATGGCGTGCGGCTTGTGCCTTGCATGGGTCGCCAGGACCAGCACGCTGCCTGGTGGGGGCGCTTATTGCGGTGGACACCGTCTGCAAACGCACACTCTCCTAGAACTGTGCACCTGGGTCTGCAGACAGGTGACAACTGAGGGAGTGTCCCCACCAACGTGGACGCTGAAGGCTGCACGAGCGACTGCAGATAAGGTGCTTAAAGGCTGGGAATGGACACCTTAGAAACGCCCGAGCCTCAGCTTACCCCTGCTGCAGGAAATGCCAGGGAGTGGGGTCCCAGCTGGACCACTCCCCCGGTGCACAGGGAGTGAATCAGCTCTCAGACCCTAGCAGGCACAGGCACCGCCTGTCTCCCACGCGGTGCCTTCATCGGATGCTCGCTGGGTCTGGCCACTGTCGCGCCATCCAGTGCACGCACTTGCTGTGGGCTCATGTACAGAATTCATACCCGTTCATTGCTTTAAAACCATGATAAAACCATACTTTCTCTGCAGCAGCAAATCTCTCGTTGGAAAAGGAAAAAATACATTAATACACAAATTTCAGCGACGTCAGCAGCTCAGGGGCCCAGTGGGGTGGACTCCTGGGGAGAAAACCACAGCCCTGGTGCAGGCTTTTGAGGTCCTCTGGTGGTTTTTTTGGGGGAGAAAACCACAGCCCTGGTGCAGGCTTTTGAGGTCCTCTGGTGGTTTTTTTTTGGTTTTTTGAGACAGAGTCTCACTATGTAGTTCAGACTTGCTTAAACTCACTATGTGGCCCCAGCTGGCCTCACGTGGATCCTCCTGCCTCAGCCCCAGGGCTGGGATGACAGGCTGGGCCACCGTACCCGGCTTCAGCTGGATCTTCCTGTAAACCGCTCATCCACCTTGCTGCTTCCCATTTTGCACAGCAGTTGTCTCTGAAGCACAGGCCAAACTATTTCTAAAGCACACAGACTGCAGCCAGAGACACGGCTGCTCTGGACAAGCAGGAGAGCAGTCCGTGCATGAGCTGATAAGACTTCTGAAGTCCAAAAGGCCCGATCACCAGAAGCAAGAAAACTGCACGAAACGCAGGAGCCGACTGTCAGCCACACGTCTCACCGGAAACCACCACACTTGCCAGAAGCACTGTCCCACATGGCCAAGGGAAGGACACAGCCAAGCCAGGGCCCCCGCACAGGGCCAGCCCCTTCGTGGTGCCAGGAAGGATGCGCCTCCACCCGGCCGGTGCATGCCAGGCGAGGTCCTGCAGCTCTCTGGGTGAGTCTGGAGGTGGGGTCCTTGACCGTGCCTAGGTGACGGCCGCCTCAGCCTCCTGGCAGCTGGGACGCGCGGGGCCTCGGCGCGGTGCCCCCTTCGTCGGAGCAGGATGCGATCAGGCGTGACATGGCACACAGCACAGAATCGGCGAGGGGGAGCCGGGCTTGCCGATGATCCTGCTCTGGGCTCTCCTCAGCCGCGCCCAGAAGCGACCTCAAGGCCGCTGCTCCCTGCCCGTCCCATGTCCTCGGGGGCCTCGCCTGGAGGGGCTTTCTCACCGTTCAGAAACAAAGCAGTTTCCAATCCAAGAGCCAGGCCTGCTCTCCTGGTGCAGGCAGAGGTGGACATCCACACGACTGCAGGCCCCTCTCAGGATCCGCCAGGGACTGAGTGGCCCCGCTGCGTGGCCTGCAGGTCCTCACCCGGAGACAACACACAGTCGGCCTGGAGGGAGATGTGCTGGCCCGGGAATGGCCTGCTCCGCAAAGGGTGAGAAGGCTGAACCAGGACCGCGCCTCCCGCCCTGTCCCTGGCCACACCCACTCTCCATCCAGGCTCCCCGCAAACCCTGGTCTCGTCAGCCAGAGCCGAGGCCCCATCTCCACCTGCTGCTCCTGTGGCTCTGACTGTGAGTGTGGAACCGGAGCAGCCTGTCTGTTACCCCAGCTGCACTGCAGTCTGCCCCTGCTGGGCCCCCTCAGCCGTCCCAGGCAGCCAGCATCCATATTGAGCCAGCCTCCCCTGTCCCGAGTGCTGCCCGCCATGGCAAGAAGCTGGAGCAGTGCAGGGAAGGGACTTCCACTCGGGTGAGGACCCTGTCCCGGCCCCTGTAGGCACGCCACACCCCGCCCCTTGGCCACCGCTGGAGTCAGGAGTGTCTGATTCCGCTGGGGCACGGGCCGGCTGCCCAGTCCCTGGGCGCTACACGTCATAGCGGTTCAAGGCGTAGGAGTGAGGCTGGCCGGGCCGGCTGTACTGAAAGTGATCCATGAGGACGCTGCCTCGGCCATACTGCAGGTCCCCGTGCGGAGGGCAGAGGACGCCGTTGTGGGGCCGCTCCCTGCCACCCAGGTCTGCCTCGGACACAGGTAGCAGGTGCTTCCTGGCCTGCTGGTTTGCGTCGTACTTAGTCTGTGGGAAAGAGAGCAAGGACAGAGTCAAGTGCATCCTCTAGGAAACCCGGGGGCGGGGCCCCAATTCAAGGCCCACCAGCCTTTGCCGGACCTAGAGGCACATGCCCACAATCCCAGCTTCCCAGGAGGCTGAGGCAGGACAGTTCAAGTAAAATAAGAAGGCCCGGGTAGAGCTCGGTGCTGAGTGCTTGTCTAGAAAGCAAGAGGTCTCGTGTGCCAACCCCATCTGTCATCACAGGAAAAAACCAGCCAGCCAGCCTCAAGCCCCTGCGAGAGGGCTCAGGTGCAGGGGATGGACGAAAGGACAGATGGACCCACCAGCAAGTCTGCGAACTCAGAACCAGCCGAGCCCTGCCAGCAAGGAGAGGGACAGCAGAGCCGGAGCGGTGGTGGGAGTGTCACTCACCTTGTTGTACAGGAAGACACCTAAGATGGCAGTCAGCATGCCCAGCACGTTGGTGCTGGTGACCGGGTTGCGCAGCATGACCAGGGACACGGTGATGACCATGATCCTCTTGGTGGCGTTGGCGACTGAGTAGCTGAGTGGGCTGATGAGGTTGAGGATGGTGAAGGCGATGACATTCTGCGCGAAGTTGCAGAAGCCACTGACAGCCAGGAGCAGGAGCGTCCAGGGCCACTGGGACACGGAGGTCTGCGGACACAGGGTGAGGACAGCATTGGCGGCCAGCAGGCCCTGCCTGCCCCCGCCCGGTCAGCTCTGACGCACACATCATGGTGGGGGGAGGGACACTGCCCATCACGGCAGCCGGCAGCAGGGCAGGGAGGAGCCCAAGCAGAATGCCAGGACCTGAGTCTCCACTGCCCCCCACAACCACCCAAGGTGGCCTCGCTAATCTCCCTGGCACTGGTCAAGCCAGTCAGGCAACAATCAAGATTCACCATCAGCCTGCTGGGGTGGTGCACGCCTGTGATCCCAGCACTCTGGGAGGCTGAGGCAGGAAGATGTCAAGTTCCAGCTCATGCTGGGCAACTTAGCGAGACCTCATCTCAAGGTGAAAAGTAAAAAGGATTAGGGATGGAGCTCCAAGTGAAGGCCCCAAGTTCAATCCCCAGTACTGAACAAAAGGAAAGAGTAAGGAGAAACCATCACACAGCCCCCAGTCAGGAGGTGGCAAGCCCAGGTGCGTGGTCATCGTCGTGCCAGGTGCTCAATCCACATGCCCTCAACCCTCAGGATGCTGCCTGGTGTGGGCTTTGCCCACTGTCTCCGGCCACAGCCGACGGCCATGAAGGCAATGCCCAGAGCGGAGCCCCACCCTTCTCTGGACAGTGCCTGGACGGGGGCCCTAAGTGGACACAGAGCCCAGCAGCAGAGCACTGCCATCCCCACTGCTGTGAGCCTCGCTGCAGGCAAACTATGGACCCTCGGGGCTCATTTGTCCTCCGCCACAGGAGGAGACTGGAGGGACAGAGCCTCCTCAACGCACACAATCTCTGGGCACAGCTGCACCAAGCAGGTGGGGATGAAACATCCAGCTTCCTGGACACGCACAGCTCAAGTCACCACAAGGAGCTGCATGTACAAAGCACAGCAGCAAAGTAAAAGTGCCTGTGGATGCCACTCAGTTTGAAGGTTCTGGGTTCATTCTGCAGCATCAAAAAAAACAAGGAAGGCAAATGTGTCTCCAAAGACCCTGTGTTGAAGGCTGGGCCATGGGGAGGTGGTGGACCTTTAGGGGGAGGGGCCCCCATCCCTGAGTGGAACAGCTGTCTTTAGTGTTCCTGCCACAGGCCCAGGGCAGTGGGGCCAGGCGATGAAGGACTAAAGTGATCTTCGGAAATCACTAAGTGATCCTCGACCTCCTCGGGCTGATCACTTCAGGTACTCTGCCACTGACAGGGAGCTGGCTGGCAGTATGGGTCAGCTGTCCCACTGCTAGGACGAAAGGCCGACAGAAGAGTAAGGGGAAATGTGTTCCGAGGTCTCAGGCCATGGCTGGCCGGCTCCTTGCTGTGGCTGGGAAGTGACACATGGTACAAGGACATCAGGGGACACAAAGGGGGGCAAAGGGCCGGAGAGGAGGGGCCGGGGATCAGGCCTAGTCCCCAAGCTCACCCCTCCTGACCCACTAGGAGTGGGCGTCCCTCATGTCCTCGGTGGCTCTCACCAGGGAGCCACAGTCCAGACAGACCATCACGACGGAGCTGTGACACCCTGCCTTTCTATTTCTGGCATCTAGACAAGATTGCTTCCTGCTCCACACTTCTGCTGCATGACGCGGTCAGGGACCCTCGCCATGGCCTGTGCTGAGCTGTGGGCTCATGAAGCCTCCCCTTCTTTATAAGGCCAGCCAGGCTGGGGATTTAGCTCAGTGGTTCCACTGCCTGCTTTGCAAGCGCAAGGTCCTGAGTTCGATCCCCAGTACCAAAAACAAAACAACACGCCAGCCTGCGTCAGGTATCTTGTGACAGCCCCAGAACGCAGACTACTGCAGACGCCAGAACACCCTGGCATGACCCCACAAGCAGTCAGGAAGGGGTGCACTCTCACCAGGTCGCTGCTGACAAGGAACGCTGAGAGGTCCACCAGCACCCACGTGGGGATCATGAAGAAGACAGCGTGGCACCCCAGGATGTTGAGCAGCCGGAGATGGTGGATGCGGGAGTCTCTCAGCACCTGTGCAGAGGAGGCCTCATGAGAGGCTGAAACTGAGAGCAGCCAGAGGGGCCCGGCCCCCAGGCCTCTGTCCAGGGTCTGTCTGCTAACCCTGGCATCCAATCCGGGAAAAGAAAAAAGAACAGCAACACTCAGGGCTGGTGTAGCTGTGGTGAAAGAGGCGCTGTGAGACCCCCTAGAATAAGTGGGATGTGGTGTAGCCTTTCTGGGCACAACCAGTATTGGCAAAGCTGGCAGCATCGCATCCTTGCTGACCCCATACAGGAAAAAGCCCGAGGTCAGGAAAGCCTTCCGCATAAATATGGTCATGAGAAGCTGGAGTGGCCTGTGTTTCCAACAGAATGAGGGCCCGCACGAATGTGCCACGTGACAGTTACAGAGTCCCAGAAAGACGGAAAGGTTAGCGATATGGTGAAAAGTTACTCTAATTGACAGTACCCAAAGCGAGAATTTGAAATGTGTCTATCCTACTGCAATTCCAAGAAATGCCAGGAGAAACTAACAGGAATAGCTGTTCCCTTCAGCTGGGAGTGAAGCTGAGCCAGAGAGCGCTTGCCTAGTGTGAAGGCCCCGGGTTCCATGCTGAGCAGCGGAAAACCTCCAAACCCAAACCCAAAGCAGAATAAGAACAAGGCCAGTATGCTCTTCAGCAGACACACGGAGGCCCCTGACTGGCAGCCAGGCCTTTGGGCTCTTCACCTCCCGCACCCACCATGGGGCTCTGCACACAGGAAGTGCTCGGTATGGGTAAAAAAGTTCATGGGTGTGGAGGTGCACACTCTGGGAGGCTGAGGTATGTGGGTCACTAGTTTGAGCCCAGCCTAGGCAACTTATCAAGAAAATAGTAAAAAGGCTGGGGATGCAGCTCACTACAAAGGCCCTGAGTTCCATTCCCTGTGCTGCAAGAAATTCTTTTATAGGGCTTTTCTCTTTGTCTTAGTGTTGTGTGTGTATTAACTTTATACCAGAACAGCATCAACTATTTAAAACACGAGGCAGAAAGAAAGTATGCAGAGCCGGGGATTTAGCTCAGTGGTTCCGCCGCCTGCCTCGCAAGCACAAGGTCCCGAGTTCGATCCTCGGTACCAAAAAAAACAAAAGGAAGTGATCAGAAAGAAGGCAACAGAGAACCCTGGCTCCCCACCAGGGAGACCCGGCCTGTGCCACCCCGCCCTGCCCCACACCTTCTTGGAGAAGATGTTCTGCAGCGAGAAGCACAGCGTAGCCGCCAGGGCGCTGACCAGCCCCCACACGTCGAAGGACAGCTCGGTGACGGTGGCCAGCAGGACGCCGCTGATGATGGGGATGAGCGACAGGTACACCTGGGGAGGAGCAGGAGTGGGGAAGGAACACAGCCCGGGCCTTACTGCTCTCCCTCCCAGCGTCCGCCGTGACGGAGCAGGCAGGCTGTGTCCCCACACGCTGCCCGAAAGGGCGCCTGACCGGGGCGGTCCCCATCTAGCGTGACCCAGGAGGGCCCTGGCCTGTGACTGCGGCCCTTCCAACCCAAAGGGGCTCCCGCTGTCACCTCCTTCCCTGCAGACCTCGGCTCACCCCACCTGGAGAACACCTCTCCTGCCCACCTCCACCCCCTGGGTGTCCCCAGTGCGCTCCACCCACTGTGACTGCCCAGACAGCCATGTGGTCCCTGCCAGGCCAGGCACGACTCCGGGGCAGGCCCCGTCTGCTGCCCTGTCCAGTGCCCTGCAGAGTGGACACTCAGTAGCTGCTCTCGGTGCTGGGCACTCACTGTGCTTAGTAGCTGCCAGCACAGTGGAAGACGACAGTGATGGAGTGCGGGGGTCCCAAGGGTGCAGAACCCAGCACAGGGCTCCTGGTGCTTCCCCGCAGATTTCCTCAGTCCTGGATCACCCCCGAGGTACAAGGAACCCTCTTTTGTGGCCCCAGGGATGGAACTCGGGGCTTCCACACTGAGATGCATTCCCAGCTCATTCTCGAGACTGGGGCTTGCTGGCTAAGGTGACCAGGCTGGGCTCAAACTGGAGATCCTCCTGCCTCTGCCTCTCTGAGTGCTGGGCAGAGAACAGCCTCCAGACAATGCAGAGATTCAGTAAGTAGGGAGATGACACCCCCAGCAGGGCAGGTCACTCGCACACTGGGGAACCTGAATTCCAGCTCCCAGCTCCTGGCCGGGGGCCCTCAGGGGTATGACTCCACTGTGAGGTCCCAAGCTCAAGAGTGGGGACAACCTGCCTTACCCGCCTTGCAGCATGGGTCCCCACGAAGCCATCCCTTCTGTCCCCCGGCTGCCTGCCCAAGGGGGCCGCTCCCCAGTCTCTGCCCACCATGTGAGCCATGTCCCCGACTACACAGAAACCTGATAATCACGACGCGCTATCGGGTGACACAGGTGTGCCTCTCGGTGAGTCCGACCCCCAGAAGCCCAGTCATACCTGGCTCACCCTGCACCCAGCAGCAGGGCACACACAGGTCTTGTCAGGAAGAGACAGGCTGCAACACAACTCAGCCAGAGGCGGCCCACTTTCTATAAGCTGATCCAGGGCGCTGCACCCAAGTTACATAAAGTGCAAGATGCCGGAAAGCAAGCCCTTGAGAACTGCACCGTGTCCAGCAAGAACTGGCTTCCAGCTGGGACAACGGGAGTCCTGTTTCCACTGAAGCACACAGCAAGGCTGGCTCTGGCCAGTCACAGCCTCGCTCACCCAAGGCAGAAAAGCACCGCCCGGCACCCTCGGCCGACCCTGGCCTTCCCACGAGCATGTTGTGCCTTCACACCTTCCTTAGATACAGTGCCGGGCTGGGCGCGCAGCTCACTGCAGGGCTGTGTCCACATCACAGTCCTCTGCGTGGCCGGAAGTCCCTACCTGACCAGGCGGAGGAAGACCCCGCAGGCTTCTGACCCTTCCCGACCCCATTGGGAGGACCTGCGAGATGTGACCCAGCCACCACCTACCGGCAACCCCGGCAGGGGAATGAAATCAGGAGGATGTCAGACCCGGGTAGCGGTGTTCCTGCGCCACACCGCAGAGCCCACCGCCCCAAGGCGGTCTGCAGGCGAGCCCCGGCGCGGCAGCAGGACAAGGGCTGCGGGAGGCCTCTCCTGACTTCCTCATCTGATGGAAGCCAGGCAGCAGGCAGGCAAAGAGCAGGACACGTCACCAGCTGAAGACTGCAGGCTCTGCCCACCTCCGGGGCTCCCGCCCGGCTTACCTTGGTGCTCTGCTTTTCCTTCATGATGATCCGGGACAGGAGGACCACCCAGATGGGCATGGTGGCCTTGACTGCGGAGAGAGAGGCACTCCGGCTCGCCCCGGCCCAGCGCCTCCGGGCCCCCGTGCCGGCCCCCCCCCCCAGGCCGAGCACCCACCGGTGTGCGCGTAGGACACTGGCACCTTCCAGATGCTGACGTGCGCCGACACCGACGCGAAGTACTTGCCGAAGGCGAGCGGCAGCACATAGCGCGGGTAGAAGCGCGGCGGCAGCAGCGGGCCGGGAGGCGGATGCGGATGCGGGCCGGGCGCGGGGCTCGACTCGGGCGGCGCGGGCGGCACGCGCCAGGCGCGCAGCAGCGGCGGGAGCCCCGCGCACAGCGCCAGGATGTGGCACAGCGACACGGTCACGGGGAACGGGAAGGCGCTCAGGATCACCTTGTTGACCACGTTGCCGCCCGCGCTCAGCGCGTACCACAGCAGGCACAGAGCCGCCACCCGCGCGCCCTCGCGCGCGCCCCCGCCGCCCGCCGCGCCCCCTGCGCCCGGCGCCCAACGGCTCCATCGCGGGCCGCTGACGTTGC